GGGTGTCTGCACGGTTTTCAAGATGACATTCCCTGACTTTTGAAGGTTTTCTCTGGGGAAAAAACCCCTGACAAAGTTCTCTGGCTTTCCGGTTTCCAGCCGTAAGATGAGCAAATTAACAAAAATATAAAAAAAACTGATCCTTCATTGAATATGGGTTTATGTTTTCCACGGCTCATTCCATGGTTAGCTTAGCAGGTGGTTCCAGCTGAGCCTCTGAGAGCGTGAAACTTTTCTAGCTCAGGCCTTTGACTAACAATCATCTTAAAAGGAAAAACCCTATCTACAACTCAGTGAAGCCACTCTATTCATCATCCATATTCTCAATCTGTACTAACCCAAATTTCCCCCTACTCACTGTCTCCACATACCTAATATGTATAATAAAAAAATAACTCTTCACCCGTAATTCCCTTCCAAGGCCGCGGTATCTCCTAGATATAAGTGAAGCCTCTAAAACCATTAAAAAAAAAAAAAAAACGCGACTCTTGGCAGTGAGAAGTAATCCCTGTAAAGTCATAACCTCAATTAACCACACAAGCGCGATAATCGGCAGAGACGAGCGTAAACAGCCGCGAAGTATTCGAGAAGAGAAAATTCTCCCACTTTTCCCAGTTTTCTAGATAGTGATCAAACGCTCCGATTGTTCCCGGTTTACCAGTCCCGTAGACACCCTGCGACTAAATACGAGACAACATTTTATGAATAGATAAGAGATTGAAAGATCCTACCCGTTAATGTCAAGATGCGCAATGATTCTTCATAGAAATAAGTATTTTTGCTCTGTTGGGGGTGGTCACCACTTACCAGTGGTACCATCTAACTGCATGTATTAACCTGTTGAGAAATGCTAATTCAGAGCTAATCGGAGATTGACTTTTGACTCAACATACGATGTGCCAGCTCTGAATGCTACAGTTCATGTCAGATAGTGCCGCTGTTTGTTTCATAAGGCAGGAATCTAGTGTCTAGAGAAAGGCAATTTGGACTAAAATCTCAAGAAAAATTCTTGAGGAAAAGTCCATAAGGCAACAACATTTTGACAGTGAAACTACCAGACCTCGTATCTCGTCTGCGGTGTTTAAAAATCTCCGCTCCCATTTTTGTTGTGAAGAAGAACAGACCAATAACATTCCTTGAAAATATCATAGATTTTTCTTCTCACAGAGAAGTAAAATCACAGAAGTTTTCTGTAATTGACATTGAGTAGTTTTCCATCGAAAAAAGAAACGGTGATAGGAAGTCTGCGACACTGCAAACCAAGATACATGGTTTGGTTGTTTCGCACTTTTGTCATCGATTTGGGTTCTTGCATGTTTTGGAGCACCATGCCCATGCAGTCTGAGCAACACCTGACAGGGCTTACCAGGTTTTTAATTCCCATTCCTCATTTCTTAATCATTTTTCATTGCCTCGACATTGTGAGGCATCATTCACATTGACTTCTTTCAACGAAGTTTGTAAATTAGTACCTGATCAGAGTACATAAGATGGTTTTACAGTGAAATCTCCCGATCCAAAAATATTCATCGCAAAACTGCAGTGAAAATTGTAGGTTTTTTTTCCACATTGCAGTAATTTACCCGTAAATAGCAGAGGAAAGATAATCACTTTGACTTTTTTTTTGGGGGGGGGGGGAAGGGTTTTCTAATTACTTATGAAGAGGTCAGTAGAAAACGGGAAGGCTAAGTGCTTTCTGCATCTCACTATCAGACTGTTCAGACTACAATAACCGATGGGTCAACCACATCCCCTTTATTGTTGTTTACATGAAAGTAATCAGACACTAGGGGGCTGCGCCCCCTGGCCGCTCCGCGGTCCAACCCCCCAGAGGCGCTTCGCGCCTCTAATAAGCAGATATCGTGAGATCGTTAAAAGATCATTAAGAGTCAGGGAAAACCCGGTTTAGAGATGGCGGGAAGCATGTGAGCGTGCGCGGCGGGAGGGGAGCGGGGAGTGGAGGAGAAACGGAGCGTTATTAATTAGCGTGACACCCTCAGCCTGACACGGTGCGCTTATGATTTTATACTATAGAGTAAGATATTTACCTGTATTTGGAATATGCATCAGAGGAATCATGCCTTCTTCTCTTGACATCTCTGTGCCGAGATTGGGATCTTGTCGAACGGGACCGAGACCTGGAGTAAGACCTAGATCGGGAACGACTGCGAGAGTGCTTTCTTCTACTGCGTGGCATCTGCAAAAACAATCAAATGTTTGTGAATTAATTCAAAATAGCAGGCCAATAATGGAAAGTTTAAAGCAGCTCGATAAGATATCAGATTGTGATATATTGCATAGTTAAGATAGGGCTATGTCTTGTCCTGTCGGGCTGACACAGTTTCAATAATCGGGCCGCAGGGGTGCAGAACATACAGGATACTTAATGGATAAAGCTAGAGCCCAGGTCCACTGCAGTGTTTCATTTTCTCCTATCACTTAATTATATTTACAGATAATTTCAGCCAACATATCTGATATACATTTCACAATTGAATATTTTGATTTATAGAAAAAATATAGAGAAATCACTAAAATAAAACCTTTTACTTAAGTATTGGATTTCTTGAGGTAAAGAAGACAAAAACCAAACTGGAAACCATACAAGGCAATAGCTGAGCAGTTTTTGAAACAAGGCATTTAAGTAATTGAGAAAGCCTCAACCTTTTCGTCTTTCCTCTTAAATTTTTGCAAACATGATTATGAGCAGAAATTGATTCCTTCTCAGATGGATCTGTTGTTAGCGTCAATAACATTTAAATAAAGAGAGTAAGTCCAATAAGCGGAATTATTACATCCCAGGTAAAATGATAGGCGGTACCCCAGTTCAAAACTATCAACACATGCATAGTGGATTCCTCCTTCAGGGTCAATTTTAGTATGCCAAAAACACATGTGCACTGTCAGAACGGCACACAGCGCTTTGGCTCTTCAGCGCAACACATAATTCTGAAGGGGCGGTACAATAAGTACACAATGTTCAATGACTAGGGTCTGTTAATTGGCAACCTCCTTAATTTTACTTTACTCTGTAGCACTCGGAGCGCAAAAGCCAGAAATTATTACTTAGTAATCTCCTAGGATACATATTGTGTCAGAATTACAACACAACATATCAACTACCAACAGCATGTCAATAACACATTACTGTAACAGTAAATAAACCACTTACTTCCTGATTGCTACATGCTTGATACTAGTTCGTTCAATTACCCTGTCCTGACTCTAGTAGATGCTCTCCGAAAAGGTACTTTGTGGGAAAGATCAATTAGATTAAAAGCTTTCTACAAATGGATGGCAATAGAAGCTACAAATGAATTAAACAAAACGTAGCCTACTTGCGATAGCTGAATCAGCAGTGGAGTTGAAATGCGTAGAGGGAGACAGTTGACTAGACTGGGGAGGAATTAGACTAGGAGAATTTTGTTCATCTGAGATTTAGGTAGGTAATAGAGGGAATAGTGGATTCGATAGCACAAAAATTTGAAAGAATTTGTAGTAAATGCAGTTCCCTCACATTGGAGCCAACACCAGACAGCCTGAAGATTTATACGATGGTGTTGTGTAAAAATATAACCAAAAAGCGAACGACGAACGATTACGTTCCTCGTTCGTAAGGTAAGAGGTCCGTGGTTGAAGGTCGGGAGTGTAGTTATACGCACAATTACGGCAACAATTGATGATAATTGTACATCAAGCAATGCAGTCAAGAGGGAAACTGAACAATAAGACGCAGAAGTTCTAGAATTACGGAGCTAAATCGAAACAGAAAAGAAGAAAATTCTAGGAGTAACGGAAAATTCCGCCATGTTGAATAAGAGCTTGGATCCTAAAAATAACTGTGGTGACACACTTTACTTACGTTTGGCTTCCTAAAGTTATTGAAAATTTTCCAGATTGCGTCCAGAATGAATCCCTGGGGAGTCAAGAAGGAATTTACAGAGCACTGGGAGAATATTTATGCATTTGGCTGCACAAAGATAAGGGTAGAAGTACTTCGCAATGTTGTAATTGAGCAAAGCTAGCGGCTGCAACGACGTGAACGTGAACTGGCATAGAGAAAAAAAAGGAGGTGTTTGCATTTCGGGCATCTTGGAATTTTTTGATGACTTGATGACGTAGGTGGGTACAGTGTGAAGGGGACGTCCCTGTACCCAGCTGTACCCACCTACGTCATCAAGTCATCAAAATACTCCAAGATGCCCGAAATGCAAACACCTCCTTTTTTTTCTCTATGGTGAACTGGTAGTGGTTGAAGAAACCAGGTATGTCGTTCTTGCGCAGCTCCTCGAACCGCGCCGTTGCGAAATGACGTAGTTAGTTTTCGAACGAAAGAGTCGCAGTCCCCGTGCACCATTACGCACGTTCTCATCTGATATGGCTTCCTTCTACGTCATTGCGCACTAGAATCTCATTTTTGTGCTTGACACTTGCTTTGCACTTGACGCCCACTCATCCACACGCGAAGTACATTAGGTGGGTGGTGTTAGCTGATAGGCAACATGCAATACTTCAATGCTTAAAATTTAAGTACCTATTTTCTGATTGAGTAATTAAATGTTCAATTTATTCTGGGCCAGAGTCCGAGATAGGAGAAGCCGTCATCGGTTCCTCATCGCTTAGAAAAGTCATAAAATTCAATTCACTGCGAAGAGAGAAATTTAGACATTGTTCAGAGCTGCTGCTTTCGATGACCAAGTCAAGTAATAGAATCATGTTGAACTTCTTGCGACCCACCTCAGATGCTCTCAAAAATTTTAGGTACGATGCACACTAAAGGTACCTGACCAATCGCTATGATGCACATACTTGGTACATCACTAAGAAGTACCTACTATTGCATGAACTTGTCCGTAAAGAGGGTCCTTTTATTGGCCACGTGGGCTCACTTTATTGAGACTGGAAAAATAGGTATACCTATGTATGATATAAAAATATGAGTGAAAAATGTGCGAACGGACGTACAGTCGATTGGAAACAAATAAAAAATTAAGTAAATGTTTGGTAATGAAAAACTAAATTTTTATTGAAACACAACAGATTAAATTTGTAAAAGTATACTTAGCATAAATCATGGACAAAAAAATAACTAGGGTTGAAGGTCAAATCAAATTGAACCGGGTGAACAGTATGATTTCATTTGCACACCTGTTTTGCTCTGTGCAGAAAGAGCAAATAATGAACAGTATTTCCGAGCGTCACCCTGAAATTTTCAACAGAAACATAATTCCATGCAGTATTTGTACCTAAATCGTGTGGGTATCCTTTGAATGGACTTGCAGACAGCACATCAATGACCAAACTTCAAAATCATGTACCTATCCTATTTGCAACATTGCAAACTTCCTATCATAGTCCAAACTAATGTTAACTAGTTTTTCAAAGATACCTCAACATCTTTGAAAAATTAGTAAACATTAGTTATTTTTTAAATTTCCTGGCTTTTTAGATAATGTTAGTACTTACATAAAACATTCTGAGTAAATTTCAAGCTAAAAACTTGACTTCTTTCTCTTCAAAATTAAAATAGGAGCGGACATTTTGAGACACCACAATAGAGATATTTGGTTTTGAACTTATATAAAACTGTTATAAGACTGGTCCTCATTGGTACATAGAACTCAACATGCAAACATTCAAGGGCTTCAAGGAGCAACTCTTGCACCAGATTTTCAAAATTCAAACTAACACATTTTTGTTTTGAACTTAACATCAATACCCAAATAAAAAATTAAGAAAAAAAATTATCAAAACACAAAATTAAATCTTTCTCTCCCCTTTTTTAAACAGACAAATGCCCGTTGCTTTTTCTGAAATCTGCGAAGATCTGACAGAAATTGATATACTAGCTTTCAGCTGTGTGTATGAATTCTTGCGCACAGGCAACTTCAAAAACGAAACTAAGGATAGAGATAGGAATTTGAGTTTGTAACACTATCAACTTTGTGCCAAAATTCATCAAGACCGAGTTACACAGAAACGCACTTAGTCCCATCAAGTTTGATCCAAGAGACAGAAGTTTGAAGTTTTATTCCTCCATTAGACTTAATGTTTAGAACAAAGTTTAACAACTTTCTTCATATTTAAAATATGCTTTCCTTTTTTCTCAAAACTTTGAATGGGAGAAAATTTACAAATGATTAAATTCAAAACTATTCGTGACTTATTTTCTAACAAAGTGTAATTTGGTGCGTCCTTGTTAACCTCGGTCCATTTTATTGCAGGTAAATGAATAATTATGATTTAAAAAAATGATTTCATGATTTTTTTATGATGCATGGTATTGAATAATTCATACAAAAATATTGATTGCTTTTTTTCGGAAAAATGCAGTGAGATACAAAATTTGATAATTAGAAATTGAAATACAAGTTTTTCTGATTTTCCCTTTTCTCCTGACTCACTGTTACTTGGCTACAATTTTTTTCTTCTTGTTCTCTAAAAACTGGTAGAGGCTTGAAGCTGCCACATATTTGTGCACATGGAAAGAACTAGAAATTGGACAGCAGATAAGATTGCCAAATTGTGCATTATTGAGCTATACTTCCTTCGGTGCAACTTAATTTTAATCAGATTCATTAAAACAAAGATCGTAGTTTTCTACTGGATACAAAAGGACTATCAGATCAGGCCAGTCCAAAGGAGACCTGCTGTCAACTTTCAAGTTAAAAAAAATAAGGCGAATAACTGTGCTCTGTCTAAATCAAGTTCTTATGATAACCTTACTTAAAACAGATGTAGTTTATAATGATTTTGCTATAACACAAAAATTAGAGTTAAAAACAAAAATCCCTGATTAGTACCACAGATTTATATTAACAAGTTAGAATGCATTCATTCAAAAAAGGACACAAGAAATACATACAAATTAAACAACTAATTAGCATTTCAATCTTCTTAGACAAGGTTAATATATTTCTTACCTCTCAGGCTAGCTGCGGGAAAATGGAGCTGGTTCTAGCACATTTTGGGGGCAAGAATCAATTCAAGTGGTGCAAACTTTTCTCGTTTCACTTCCTTTGACAACTGATGCATGCAAATTAAATTCTTTACTGATCCATGAAACCAACGCAGGCGGAAAAACACTGAGTGATGTTGTCCATTATGTTCTTCATAGAACTACATCTAATTTTGACCATATGGCTATGAAATAATCAATAATCAGTTATGAAAATTTGGCTTCAGGAAAGATCGTGATACTCTTTGATAATTTATGAAATTCAGTCATTATCAGGTAATACCATGACATAGAAGACTGATTCATTGAGTATTACTTTACACGAGGCTTCAAACAGCGCATTTGAAGCTTCAGTCTTTATTAGTGTATTTACCGAAGGAAATACACTGATGTGTTCTCCCTCTTCAGTTGTTGTGCCATGAACACAGCATCTGTTTTCAAAAACACAGAGATATATTATACCTATTAAAATTTTTGCAATTAATAATTTTTCATTTTACTAATGGTCTGAAGTTGCTCACAATAGCTGACACAGCTATTGCGGGTAAACCTGTGAGCCTTGACAACCGAATTATCGCTCTAAATTGGGCCAAAAGAGTGATTTTTCCATTGGCAGTTCCAGCAATTTGGCAACATTGTTTTTTCTCCATTTAAACCAATGGAAATATATTGATCCTTGGAGGGGCCAGGTGCTCCGGCAAGGATTGATTATTCAACACGTGTTTAAATGGAGGAAAGTCAATGTTGCCAAACTGCTAGATCCGCCTCTGAATTTTTCAGGTGTGTCAACATAAATCATGGGAAAAAATCATAACTGTGTCAAGTCTTTTAAGCACTAATATTGAGGTAAATGATTGTATAACCTGTTTGATGAAGATGAAGGTTCAATCGTGCTTCTCACAACATTCATGACAGTCATTTTATAATATTTTATCACATATGAAGTATTAATCTGGACTCGATCATAACAGAGGAACTTCAGACTCAGTTGTGTAGCTTTTGACCCTGGAGTACCAGAGCGGAGGGAATCTAGAATGGGCCAAGTCAAATGTTGATTGTATTTCAGGATTGTTGCCTTTCTTCTGATAGAGAGCGTACCGCCGCCAGACAAGTTGAACATTCAGACGAGATTTGTAGTTGAGGATTTGGAACTCCTGCGGGACAAAACGAACATTTCATGAAATATAAATAAGCAAAAAGATTCTGACCATCTAACCTACTTGAAAAGTATACCAAAATAGTACATCTATTCTCACCATCCTTTCCATCCCCTCCGTTTCAAAGTTACACAATATATGCAACACTAGTGTGTGTAAAAAAAATGTAAGTTTGAAATGTCACTGTTTCCAGGCGGCAATTGATGTCACTAGGTAAAAAAACATGTTTGCCAAAACTTGGGTTCATTTCGTCCATTTTTACTGATGCCCAACATCAATTTTATGATAAAAAAGTGATTTTTCTGTTTAGACCTCGATTTCGGACGAAAAAGGCTATAAAATGGAAACCACAAGTTTACAAGAAATAAGCCGTATAACGTAAGTTGTAGAGAGTAGAGTTTTGCTCTAGAGGAAAATAATTGTCAAAAATAGAAATAAAAATCAAAATAGACTGAAAAAAAAAAAAAAAAAAAAACACTGAAGTATTTTTTTTTAATCCTCCGAATTTCTGAGGCTTTACAAAAATATTGTTATAACTGACTCATTTTCCATCAAAATGAGTCCAAAACAGGTGAAAATCAACTGTTGACAAGTGCTGACAGTGTGTTTTCTACCAGAGCCTCCTTAGTTTAAAAAAGTCTCACTTTCCTTTAACATTCCTTAAAAAGTATACAGCTCAAAAATGAAGATACGAAAATTCCAAGAACCAAAAGAATACAGTGATGAACTATTTCAGTTTAAATTGGGTTTTATTTCAAATAATGTTTTTCTAGAGCAAACTGATGCACATTTTTTAGACTTCGTACAACACAGGGCGGGGAAGGAACAATACTCAATTAAGAAGTCTGCAAAATACGTTGTAGTACGCGCTTTGATTCACACAGGCTCCAGTTTTTCTTGTGAGCTGAAAATTCAAATTGTTTGAGACCAATGCATAAGAACAACAATCAAATCTTGGTTAAGAGTTAATTTCAGTAATTTTTATTGCACAAATTGTGTTCTACTTAAAATTTTGAAGAAGGAACATATCAGTACGCTCAGATTTGTGCCTTGTTTAGAGGTTCATTATTTAATCTTACTTAAAAATTAATGACAATCATAGAAAAGGTTAGAATAAACACTTAAGTTACCATGTGGAAAGCTGAGTCCGTTGTTTCTTTTGGAACATTTTTGCTTTTTCTATTTTTACTGCCAAAAATAGAAATAGGCGTGGTTGTGGTTTGATGAAATACAACCGTAACAACATCATCTGAGATAAGATAATGACCTGATAGCACTGAATTATTTGAGCAGGATCGGCGGCGAAGTTGTCCCACTGTTTGAGCAGGCTCTATTGGAGTGCACAACATTAAGACCTGACCACCGCCAAAAAACCTGTGAACAGAGAGAAATTCCTAAGACTTATTTTTGTACACATGTCCATTCAGGTTTTTCAGAAAAATCTGAAGACTTTTTTCGACCCACTGGAAAAAAATTAACCAGGGGTGCACAATATACTAGATCACGCGATAAATTATCGCATGAAAATGTGGAAACGTCCCAAATTTTGTGGAAATTTTTTTTTTCTTTCTTTCTTTCCGTTTCTTTTCTCGCTCTGCACTTTGAATCTCATATTTTTTACCAAAAAAAAAAAAAAAAAAAAAAAAAAAGAAGTCATCACTTTTTGTGGAAGGAGTCACGAAATTGTGGAAATTTTTTGAAAAAATTTTGTGGAAGAGGAAAAGCTTATCGCGCGAAATTGTGGAAGCATAGTAAAATGTGCACCCCTGAAATTAACCGCTCTTACTTGAGGAAAAATAAAGTACGGTGAAGGTACTTTTTTTGCAATATTTGCTATTGAGGTTTAAATTAGGTTGTTGGTTATTCTTAAGTCTTTTTAAAAAGAGATTAAACATTGATACCCAAGTATGTATTACAATATAGTACGATAGTACTGCAAGAAAATTGGAATTTTATCTTGTCAAAGTATAATTTTTATTTCTCCTCAAAAAAAAAAAAAAAAAAAAAAAAAAAAATAATAATAATAAAATTGTGAACACATTGGGGATGATTATTAATTATTATAAAAACATGTATTATGAAAAAATCTATTATTATGAAACAAATTGTGATAACTTTATATTACTGCAATATAATGCAACATTTCCATTACAAAATGCTACTGTGGGGGGGACTACCAAATCACAGATCTCCATTGAAATGTATGAAAATTTCTGGCCATATTTTAGTTTTTAAGGAAAATATGTACTGCTTAACATTCTTGCCCGACATTTTCGGAGAACTTTTTTTAAAAATTAGAGAAAAATCTAAAAAAATTGTGCGCAGAAGCAATGATTAGGCCTCCTTAAGGAACGTAAAATGCAGTAAACTTCCGAATCATCCGAAAACTCCCGAAACTTGGATAATTTTGAGTTTTCTCTACAGTAAACTATCCACACTAATTGGGGCCTGACGGGTTCGGATAGTGGAAAAGTTTGGATGGTTGATATGATACATGCGTCAAATAATTATTGGTGGGACAGAGTTCATATCTCAGTAAAAGGGTTCAGGTAGGCAGTAGTTACTTAAATAGGGTATTTATACTATAAATGTATACTGCAGCTATTTGCACTTGAATAAGGCTTAAATAGGCAGTAAACACGAAATATTTGACCTAAACAGTATCAGATGCTCCATCCAACTCAGTTCGTCAGGTCCTACTTACCAAATTAGTTCGGATAATCCAGGGTTCCAATAATACCGTATTCGGATAGTTGGGAGTTTTCTGTACAACAAGAAATTGCCAACGTGGCAAACTGAAATATGAAGTTTGATTCTTTGACCATTATGTACTCCTCATAAAATACAAACCTTAAATATCTATAATATGTCACCAGATGCCATGGTCGATATGACTGGTCTTGAAATGAGTTTTCACCGTGACGAATATAGGATGTTTTGCTAATGTAACAACCAGATGTTTTAATGAAAGGACTTTCCACAAAAGTGCGCCGCCAGCGATTGTGTTTCGGACTTTGCAAAGGTTGCACTTTCAAGCCCCACATTCTGAAAAAATGCAAAAATGTTGTTCAAACAGCTACATAAAGAGACAAACAAAAATAGAATGAGAAGGTATCTCATTTGAATTTCTTTGTTTAATTTTTTGTTAAATATGGTGGTATTATTTCTTGAAAAAGTACTTCAAATTTTATTTACATATTTCCAAGCTTAGTCTTGCTAAAGTAATTCTTCATCTATATTCAACTTCTAGACTGACTTGATCATTTTTATATCAATAACTTTAGGTGACTGATTAATTTACATACTCCTCAATGACAAAACAACATCTAAAAGTCAACACTTTTTGCAGGACTGAAGATACTTACATGCAATTACTTTTATTTCTCCTTACCTTCTGGACTTAGTTTCCTGTAATGAGGCTTTGATTTTACTAAAATCATAGGTTGAAGACCTACTAGAAGGGCACTAGCAGGACACCTTAGTTTTCATTTCTAAAGCTAGCAAGAGGCCTATGTCTGTCCAGACTGTTTCTACCATTACGCAACAACCCGCTAAGACTGCTGCTGTCATTTTTGCAAGCTTAGCAGCTTCTGCTAGTGTCTTTAGTTCAAATTTCCCGCTTCTGGCAACATGAACTCTACTAAGAAAAGTGACTTAGCCATGATCTTGTGGGGAAAACAGACCATTCCCTTTCTGGTGGGGTTTTATTCTGTGCCGTGGGATAGTGATTGATATAGAGCATACAGGAAAAAGATAATGTTGCTTTTCACTGAAAAAACTGAGCTGAACATATGTATAAAATATATTATTATTACAGGAAAAATTGTCACATGCAAAAAAACCAAGGTAGCAGGATACCGGATCACACGTGATATTTGAAGATGAAGAAGTGGGGTAAATTTAAACTCTCGGAGATTTATTTCTCTCTTCCCTTTTCATTAATTATTGATTTCACCTTCATAGGCACTTTTCCTGATTTATTATTATTTCTTGGAAATTTCCTGCTATCTTTCATAAGAAGTTAACCAGACTGCCTGACTGAAAAGTTCAGCATATAGGCATTATTTTTGGATTTCGCTAAGATTTGGATTGAGAGGAAACATTTTATGGAACCCTAAAGTAACAGACAAATAAACTTACTGTTGGCAAGCAGACTTCCACAGCTCTTCATCACGAGCACAGAGGTAGAAACTACGGCACACTAGCGCACATGATTCCAGGGACCGGAGATCAAGATCCCGAGAGACAACCCATCGAAATATGTACAAGAGAATTTCAAAGGGCAGTGCTGAGATGTGAGTATCCTGAAGTGAGGAAAGGAATAATACATTATTCAAACTACTTCAACATAACAATTCATACTTAAGAAATAAGCCAATTGGAGGCAAAATTAGTAAAATTGTGCATTGAGAAAAAAGTGTTTACTTTTTCAAGGTGGAGACAAAAATAAAAGGAAAAAAACTCATTTTTTGAATGGGCACCAAAATTATCTAACAGCAGTGGTAACTCCTCATGCCGCTAGAGGTACGATAAATTCCTCTATTCATGGTGTAAAGAGGATCTTTCAGGATTATGTACCATAGCTCTTTGCTATTACTTAGGCTGTTAATAGAAGGGCAATTCAGCCATCAAAAAATTATACTTCACTGTACTAGTCCAAGGGACACAAAATTTGAGAGGAATCTTTCTAAGAGGGGGATAACATGTCTACGTCTGTTTTCTATGAGGGGGCATCCCTCAGCCAACAAGGCATCTCAAGGAGCCTCCCCCAAATATTTGGTGAAAATTAAACCACTTAAATGTTATATGCTACTTTCGCACAAGTCGTAGCTGATGTTGGCACATCTCAAACCGTACAAACAGTAGAATTTGCCTACCAGAATGTGTTGAGACCAACAAAATTTTTTGGTGTAAATAGTTTTCACTAAATACTCTTTATTAATACTTATGTTTGGTAAAAATAAACTTTTATCGGTGAACTCTGGTCACTGCTGTGTGTACTTACAGTTTGTACATTCTCAGGTAAACATGAATAGTTTTGGTCTTTGGCCATTTCCCTCTGAACCAGAAGAATAACATCCTCTACAGGCAAGGAGTCTTCACCCAAATTTGATTGGTTTTCTGGTTCATCTTCATCATCTGAAATAAAAACATTTTTGAAACACAATGAATCATTGAATCAGATTTAAATTTATTCTTGATTACCAAAATCAGCTACAATTGATGCTTGGTAATTTGAAGTCTTTGGGCTTTAAGTTTGAGAAAATAAAAAAAAAGCCGGTTCCTGTGAGAAAATCTCTATATTTCCAAAAATACTGTGTATATTCCTCCCCTTGCCAATTCCAAATTTTTTGATTCTGATCAGTTGATGAATCAGCTTTGTAATTCAAAATGGCATAACCTTGACGTTCTAAAATTTTAGATCAGGATCAGACGATCTGTATTTCTACTGACAGAACCAAGCGCTCTATTTTTCAAAAAGGTTCTTGTGGCTTCGTTTTGATGTAAAATCTTGAGATTAACAAAAAAAAGAATGAACTTTGAAAAATTGCCAACTGCTTTCTAATTATCAAGCAATTGATTTATCTAATTTAAGCTACAGAGCTAATTTAAATATCCCTTAGACTTTGAGTTTTCTTAGAAACTGCTTTCTAAAATTTGAATACTCATGAGGTAATTCAAAAACCCTTTAATTGGGAGAAAAACCTCCATCCTCTCACATTCAGATCAGCAGACAAGCACTGCACTTCAAAAGCATGTCAGATTTAAACCTGCACATTAAATTTTTAAGTTGAGAGGACAAGGGCTGTCAATCCTAAATGAATAATAAAATATTGATGATAAAAATACTGCTGACAAATCTAAAAGTGGGTATAAAAATTAAGGCTGGAAATCTTAAAATACAATTAGTAGAGAAGAATGCTGAGTGGTACCCATTGACGTATAATACAATCTAGACCGCGCATTGGGCCCTACTTTAGGCGGGGAAGGTAAGACAGCTAGGGGGGCAAAGACGCACCTTCAGCCTAGTTGATACCGCCGGATAAACGAGCTAAGTGTACCCGTATCAGGTATCGGCACTGATAAGACTGGCATTTCCATTGTCTCGGTCGGTACACTTACTGCGGTTGCTGGGTTGCCTATCGTCTCGCCTGAAGGGACTCTAGTCTTGCCGAAATTTCCTAATGCGCGGTCTAGATTGTATTATACGTCAATGGTGGTACCAGACCAGGGGCGTGGGAGTTATATAAAAAAGTCAAGCCCAACAGAGTGGTTCATTTTGAATTAAACTTTTCAAGCAATTTAATTTGAGGTAAAAATTTACGATGAAAAACATGCAATTATGTACCTACTTTTCTACAGAAAAAAAAGATGTTTTTAGGACTTTGCAGGGTTGCAATAAAAATAACCCTGTTGCTCTGCCTTGTAAACAATGGATGAGGGTAAGCTAAGCATACAGATAGTAGGTCTGATGGTAAATTAATCATAACAGAAGGATAGGGTCATTAACATTTAGACTTATCAACCAACATACCTGTTTCAGTTGATCTGAACTGGACAGTTTTGTTACTGTTATAAATTCTGAATTCTATGTCTGGAACAAGTTGAACAGCTCTTTTGTAGAATTGAATGGCTTCATAATGTTTGCCTGCTCGCTCATTTTCAGCACCTTTCAAAAATAGTGTTTTTGCCTGAAACCAAGAAAATAAAAGATATGGACTTCAAAACATACTAAAAAGTTCGGAGATTTTAAAACGTTAGGTAGTTTTTTCAATCTCGATTACAGCCAAAATTCACGATTTGAGATCATCATTATGTAGATCTCGACTTCCGTTACCTCCGTTTCCATTCATTGTCAGTCAAGTCAACATTTTAAGTATGTGATCATCCAGGTAACATGTTAATTTTTAGGGTTGGATTTACTATCTTGCCACCTGGGACTAGCAGCAATTTGCTGTCCCTCAACTTCAGGACAGTGGTTACCTCTTTTTTTGGCTTTCCAATCGGGTGAGTTATTTTGTAGTACAACCACTTAAAGGAGATGTTTTACAAGCATTTGTATACAAAAATCAGCCAAATATAGATCCAACCGACCAAACGTTTGGATGATTTTAGTTTGCAACTTCATCAACATTTACATTTGATGAAAAAGAAAAACTTAGAGTTAAAATCTACAAAATTTGGTAGGTACAATGCTGAAAGTTGAAACATTGTGTGCTGAAAAGGCACTTTGCGGTTGCGGTTTTTCCGAACGTCCACTTTAATTTCAAACCCTGTTTTAAGAGCACAATTTCTTTTTACCTTATCATTCTTTGAAACGTTTCTCTGAAGGATATTTAATTGTTTTGCTTCCAAACCATAAAATATGATATAAAATTAGGATTAAAAAGGTATTAAAAAACAATATTTACTTCATCTTCCAAGTTGCTGAAGTTATCTAACTTCTCTTCTAATTTTTTAGATCCTTTTGAGGGTGGATTTGAATTGAGCTCCAGCTCTTTCTGCCATTCCTCTCGAAAGCTAACGAGTAATCCATCTGGAGTATCCTATTATTAAAGAAATTTTCATTAACAAATAAAATTCCAAGTATTTTAACTGTCAGACAAGCACAGCGTCATTATAGACAAGCTCAGCGTCAAATTATTGGGTGAGATTTTAATACTATTCACTTGATAGAGTACGTCAACAGTGAAACTGCCAAACCATGTATCTTGTCAGCATGTTTAAAAATCTGTGCTATCACCATGTTATTCTTTTAAAGGAGAACAAATCAACATCATTTCTTGGATATTTCAATGAATTTTCTTCTCACAGAGAAGCAATATCATGGAAATTTGAAAGAATTTACGGTAAACATCGTTCCATTTGAAAAAGATAGTTTGACAGGAAGTCTGCAACATCACAAACTGGGTAGGTATGTGGTTTGGAAATTTCAGTCAACATACACAATGTACCATGTAACAGTGCAATTACTACTATATAATACGAACAGAACTTAGGTAACCTACATCACAAAATATATCTACTGATACAGGTTTAGTCTCTTTTTTAGTTCTACGATTAGGTTACATACTAAATTCTTGGAAATCCTGCATATGAGGTCTCATTCCCTGAAACCTGAGGATTGAAAATTGCGAATCCAAATGAAATTCATCGATCCTTGCAAAAAGCACTTAAACTGAGACTTTCTTAAGGAATTCTTTCCAATGAAATTTGCACCCAGAAAATAGAGATCTTTGTCATCGTGGTTGTGCTTGCCAGTGCAGAAGGAAAGAAGTAGGTACCTATCCGGGGATAATCTTTACGTTCAATCAAAATTTAAACCAAGGTCAATCCCTGGCTAACTATTTGTATGTACTGACAAAGATGTTTCTGTTGAATAGAAACAGAAATAAGTGAATTTGAGGAGCAGTAGTGTGACAAAAATCTTAAAAACCACAATTACATCATCAAAATCCGTGATATTTTCTAGCAAAAGAAACGCCTGTTAACTAACACATTTAATACGTTACCATTGAGGTTATCTGAGCTCAGAAAACGAACATGATATATTTGATTCGATTTCAATCCTACTGCCTTATTCGGAGTATGACTGAAAACGGGATGAGAAATTAAAAAAAAAAAACTTTGAGGTAAATCAAAATAGAACCGGACATTCAGCCCTCTTGCATTTTTCCACTGCACTCGCACTCACTGTTATTGTTTATTTTGATAGCAGAATAAAAGCAATCCTTATCAGTCATTCAGTCAGAGAGAGCAGTAACCAATCAGAGCTTGAAATTCATCTTACGTCATTAAAATGTAACACGCGGCAAAGCGTGAAGTTAGGAAGGGGGGAGGGGGATTGAGCCGACTTCCGCTGTTGCCCGGAAAATTCCCGGCAATTTCGAGATAGTACCTGAACATGTTTCAAATCAATCCACGGATTATACTATTTTTAATTGAGAGTAAAGTTTAAGGGGAGCTAATGATGTCCAAAGAAAGAAAAACTTTGGGAGGGAGGGGTAGAATCAAGGTAGAATTTCAAAAAATCCCTCGATTATATAAGAACTGGCATAAAGCACCTTAAAAGGCACCTTTAAAGTGCAGCGGAGGAATGAGTATGACTCCCCTGTCACGGACAAAAAATGCTCAAAATATGATGCCTCTAATGCAAATCGGTAGAAATATCCTGGGCAAAGCTGATTTTAAATAACTTCCTCCAATTTCCTCATTGTCAGATATAATGTCGACAAATCAAAATTTTCCCCATTTGAACTCATACTTACGTCAAATATCCACATTTCATCCCAAAGCCTTGCAATCATGTCCAATTTCGTCTTGATCTCAGCATATTTATGTTTAAACTTGGAAACCACGTAGGTATCTCTATTGCTATATACCTACCGACCTGAGTATATTCCTAAATTTTCGTTCCACTTTTATATTTTTGTAGAGAAACAACCCAATTGTGTTACTCAAAATTTTCATAAAATATTTTTCAGACAGCGAAGAAATTTTCACAACTGAGTAATTTCATTGATTTCACTAATTTTTGAAAGAGTTATGTACTTACATGATACCGTATGTGCAAAAGTTGCAAACCATTCAGAAAACAAGGTTTTGTTTTTTCACCGTAGATATTAGTGAACAGTTGCTGTTGAGGAATTAATTTTTTAAAAAAAAGCCAACATTGGGGAGGGGGAGGAGTCATGAGGACTACACATGCCAACAGCCTCAAGCCTCATCTCCGCAAATTATGTTCTCTTAAAATTTCTTAATGACAAATTGTTAAAAAAAGATTTTTGGCCCAAATGTGTTATACAACTGTATCCACATTGCAAAGAAACAACGCAGCAATATTTTTGCGGCAATATTGCTGTACCTAATTTATTTCCCACTATAACTGGTCACGCTGCTGCTGAAATGTTGCCTGTCTAGTTTGATGACAATATAGTTAGATTTCATTGTGAGCCTGAACTTTAAGTGAGCAAAACATATTAAATCTAGGCTAAAGTTTCACTATGGGTGAAAAATTATGAAGAAAAATCAAGAAAGTGTTTTGATGTCCATAGAATTGCAATAATTCTGGATTCCTAATAGTATACTACTGTGCCTATAAGAAATTTTCTTTTTTACTCTTAAAAAAAGACTATGCTTTAGAATTTGTCTTGTCCGTCAAGAAATGATGAGCTTACATCAAACACCGGTATGAAAATTGAAAAACACATACCTCGATTACCATTTTTGCAGATTCATCACCACATTTTACATCAGTACAGAAAAATCTTTAGTTTTTGCAATTTTCACTGATTTTTCTTCATTTTAAACGGTCTTATCAGTGAAATTTCAAAGTGTGATGTCCAACTTTTTTTCTCCAATAACTGAGAACAGAGGCGATTTTAAAAATCTGTAAACTGGGTACATGTATTTCAATTTTCACCATCTGTTCGCCTGAGAAGTGGATCAAGCTTGAGTACTTAAAATAAAAACATTCGAAGGAAATAATGATCTCAATTTAAATAAATAAATATAACAAAATTTTATTTTTACAGTATGAACAGGTTATTCTTACAAAACAAAAAATAACTATCTATCCAATTTTTATTTTACAGAGTAAGACGGAACGTAACTCAATGTTTGATTCCAATTCAGTTTCATCATGATCTGAAATGTTGATTGAAACAAGCAAGATAGCAAAAATAAGTGTTCGAACACAGCCTTAAGATGATTATCAAGAAGAGAAAGTTCCTGTTTCGGTAACCTCATGATGATGACAATAACCAAAACAATTCTCCTTACACTGGTTCTAAGACCCCTGGTACTATTATAACGTTGCTTGTGAGGAAAACACAATTGCTCTAACAAAAAAAAGAATAGTTTTTTTTTTTTTTTACCAAAATCAGTAGTGCCTGAGACCAAGCTTTGATTCTAAAAACAACAGCTTTATTTTGGAGCTTATGAGGAACGTTTACATAGGTACGTATAATGTATATTGCTCCAATCTAAAGGTATTCTGCCATGCTAAGGAAAAACGCCGTATGAACCTTCAGGCGTTGCCAAATTTCCTTCCATAAAACGCAAATTTACTGATAGATTTATCAATGTTTTCCTCCGAATTTTTCAGATAATTTAGTTCACAATTTAACCTAAAGATTTTGAAAATTTAAAGAAAAAATATTCATAACTTTCCTTAAAAATGATCATTTTGTGGAAGGAAATTTGGCAACTCTCGAATGTTCATACGGCGTTCTTCCTTAGCACGGCAGTATTAGTCTTGGATGTGGAAGCTTTCCTAAGCTATTCTACGCCAAAAGACATTTTTCCCCTACATATTAGATAAGTATCAGCAAGTTTTACAGTAATTTCAGAAACATTCAACACTTCAAGAGAAGATTTACAGTTTACAGAAGCATACGCCATTGCAGATTAACAGAAAATCACCATTGAGAGCCACAGTTGCAAGTGAACAAGTCTCAAAAAGGTTCCGTACTGAGAGGAGAAGAATTTTCCTCGTCAGAATGACCATATAGAATGATAAATTTAGTTTCCGACAGTCAGTCTCCTCTTTGATAAGCATGAATTTAAAAAAATATATATTGAAAACTCTGCGATAAACGTTGTAAAATTACAAATCTGATGTTTTTCCTTGTTAAGATGATTTTGTTTTTTTGGGGTCAACTCCTTGTAGATTCATTCCTAAAAATGTACTGTTGAACGATCCTTCTCAAAGTTTTTATTTTTTTTCTTGCAAAAAAGATTTAAGTTGTGTGCAAAAATCAACTACATTCCATGGCCTCAGCAGAGGATATATGACGCTGGGTGTCTTGATTTGAGTCTGGAAAAGCGCCGATGGGAATGCTAATTTTTAGTTTGAAAAATTGCTATTTACCTGGCTAGCGGTAGTGGTATTGATGACCCTTATAGTTCACTTCATTCCGTACAAACTATTGCATTAATATTCTGAGGGAGAATCAGAGCATTGATTTATCAGAAGCTTAGTGTGGATCCAGTAATAATCTACCATCCTGTCACTCAAAGAGCGTATCCGTAGTAAAATAATTTTAAATAATGATGCTTGGCACAAAAGAAGGCACTTAGTTGACTCGGTTTTGTCATAATTTGAAAGTGAATCTCGAGAAGCTTGAATCTTCATTGATGATGTTGAGAACTTCTGGCAAAATCAGTTTTAATTCAGACAAAATAATAATTTTATATTCATAAATTAAAACTATTTTCTTTCAGCATTCAAAGAATAATTCATGAGAATAATAATCTTTGAGATGAATAATTCATTTGATGCAAAAATATTACAGTTTTATGCTGAAAAAGTAAAGCTGAAACAGAAATGTTGAAACACCGCAATCCGGATACTTATTTTCTGGTTTCATCATCGATTTTACTTAATTTTACCTAAAGCCTCCTCATGACTGGAAAAATGATTGCTAGTAACGTTTGTACTTCGAAAGTAACATTTCTTTGCTTGCTGCAATCAATTCAACCTAAGTATTCTGTCTGTAGAAAATTTCTGTGACTGTCCTCCCTCATTTTCTAATTATTTAAGAACGGATGGACAAATCCACTGAGCATGAACAAGAAAACGGTCTTAAATTAAACACTTAATTCAGAAATAAAATTATAATAATATGTAATATCTGAGCTAAAATAAGCAAACTCTTACTTAGCTCTGGTTCATATTTTGACGGAACTTTGAAATTTGAAACTTATTTGTTCAATTAAATTAAATACTTCCTCTACCCGCTAGAGAAGCGAGAAAGTAAAAAATACTGACATCAATGTTGAAAACTTTAGGAGTATGACAAAATATACTGTGCAAATTCTCACTTAAAAAGAAATAGAACTATGAATACAGTAATACATTTTAAATTAAATTATCTACAAGAAATTAAACATAAAATTGACCTAAAGAGCTCCTAACTTCGTTTTGACAGTAACACTCCAGTCTTTTTAAAAATTTTTCTCGCAGCGGGAAGTCTGTAATACATTGGTATATCGTTGATACATGGTGATAAGCATTAGAATTCCAGACTTTGAAAGAGTTGCAATTTTGAAACTCTACGTCATCCTTTTCAGTTTTCTATGAGAATTGAGAATCAGATAAAATAAATTTCCTATTCAATAGATTAACCCATTAGACTAATCTCATTTTATTTGACAGTGAAATATATTCTGTAACAAAGAATGTTACACAAAAAAAAGTCATAAGATGAAAAAATTGACTCATTATAATAATTACAGGACGAATTACGAATTCTAAGCTAAAAACAGAGGAGCAAAGAGTTATAACTCTTAATAGGATTGAGAGAGCTGAAAAGTAGTACGGCTAATGATTATAAAAAAAAAAAAAAAAAAAAAAAAAAAAAAAAAAAAAAAATTAACAAAAAAAAGTAGCAGAACTGCTTGAAGTAAAAGACTTATTCTGTGCTTTAAATGACCAACAATGGTGAGGATTGAGTTTCTGGTAGGTAATTACAGTTGTACATCTTAAGAGGAAAAACCAAACACTCACTGATATTTTCAGCAGGGAGATTAAGAAAATACCAGTCTAGGAGAGATATGCCGAAAATTATTGAAATGAATTCATTGTTACACAATGAGGTAAAAAAGGTAAGAAAACATTGAAAAATTCTTTAAAACTTGGGATTTTTCAACATTACTTATTATCATCTACCATTTTTTTGAGAGAGGGAGGCAGTAGGGATAGGTATTGATAATTGCTTTCCTTACTTTTAGGGTTGACACAAGATCATTCTGAGGTTTCAATCAAAGACATTTCTTAAAAGTTTTCAAGGAAAAAATACTTTTGAACCTCATGACTGGATTAAATTTACTGTTCAACAGCTGCGTTGGCAATGATACTAGGATTGTTGATGACTTCACCCAAACTGTCCAACAGCTCCTTCCTGTAGTCATCGAAGTCTCCATCGACTTCATTGATCGTCTGATCCTCAATGACCCATAGAGAACATTCTGTTTCTCGGATCAAACGTTCGTCGTGAGAAACGATAATAACTCCTCCATTATACTCGTTAATTGCTTCTGCCAGAGCATCGATGGACTCAATATCTAAATTGTTCGTTGGTTCATCCAAAATTATAACATCTGGAGCCATTAGACACAGTTCGGCCATAGCTACTCGTGCTTTTTGCCCTCCTGAAAGGTCTTTCATTTTGATTGTGTGAGCATGTGACGCCAGACCAAACGTTCCTAGAGCTTTGCGCGCCTTTTCGTACTGCAAATCAAATAGCCGCATCAAATATTCACTAGGGGTCTCTTCAGCTGTTAAATGTTCTCCACTGTGTTGGTCAAACCTTCCAATTCGAAGCCGGTGATTTCTTTTGACTTCACCTTTTGTTGGCTCCAAATCACCGGTAAGAAGTTTCAAAAACGTAGATTTACCAACTCCATTAGGACCTACGATAGCAACACGAGAACTAAGGTCAATACCGAAATCACAATTAATGAAGAGTGGTTTTTGGCCGGGATACGCAAAAGTTACGTTGTAAAGACCAAGAATAGGTGGTTGGAGAGGAGGAGGATCTGGGAAGGAAAATTTAACGATGTATTCCCTTGGTTTCTGCAACAATTCTGTGGGTTTGTCTTCGTCGTCTGCTTTCGGTGCTTTGCTACGATTTTTCTCTTGTTTCCTCGTGAGCGCCTCTTTCTGTTTCTTTTCTGCAGCTTTCTTGGACTGACCATGAGCTTTCAAGTCCTTGATACGCTTTTCTTGTTTTTCGTACTCTTTAATTAGTTCTTTCCGCTTTTGCGCAAACATTTTTTTGAACATTGTGTAATTTCCTTTGTAGTAGAATAGTTTTTGCATGTCTAGGTGAATAATTTCATTACAAACATTATCTAAGAAACTTTGGTCGTGAGAGACAACTAAGAGTGTTTTCTTCCAGCCCTGTAAGTAGTTGTCCAGCCAAATTACAGCATTAAGATCTAAGTGATTTGTAGGTTCATCAAGTAACAAAAGAGTTGGTTCTACAAACAAAGCTCTAGCTAAAGAGACACGCATTCGCCAACCTCCCGAAAAACTGTTGGTCGGACGATCCTGCATGGCTCGTGAAAATCCTAAACCAGCTAGAATTCTGCGTGCTCGTGGCTCTGCTGAATCCGCACCAATTGCTTTTAATTCTTCATATACTTCATTTAGCCTTTCTTGTGCTTCCAAATCTCCTTTCTCAATTTTTTCTTCCAGCTCTTTACATTCCTTCAGAAGTTCTGTTCGTTTGACATCTGCTTTTAATACAGCTTCATATGCTAATGTATCATCGGCAATGACTTCCTGCTCACAATAAAGAATATCAATGTTTGGCGGAATTGCAAAAGCTCGAGTCGCAAGATGCCTGAGTAATGTTGTTTTACCATGTCCATTGGGTCCAACTAAACCGTACCTGCGGCCTGCAGCAATTAAAAGCGTTGCATTTGTGAACAAGTCTTTTCCCTTGGCCGATATGCTAAAGTTTTCAATTTTGATATCTACAGCATTCTCAAGTGCTGCTAATTGGTTAGCTGATTTTAAGGATTGGGAGACAGCAAAGTTTGAGTCTAACTCACTATGACCTTGTCCACCCTTCTTTGTTGTTAACTCCATCATTTTTTGATATTCCATTTCTTTTTTCAGCTTCTTTTTCTCTTTGTGTGTGAGTTTCTTCTCCTTCTCTCCTTTTTCCTCTGAAATTTCAGGAACAGATTCGTCTTTGGAAGCTTCCTCTTCAGCTATTTCATCTTTATGGTCTTCTTGGGGCTCACTGAACTTCACTTCTTTTTTACTCTTTTTCTTTTCTTTAGATTTTTCAACTTTTTCTTCATTTACATCTGCTTCACTACCTTCAACTTTTTTCGCATCTTCCTTGATTTCTAATTTTTCATCATCATTTTTCTTCTCCCCTTCTTCGGTGTCAAGTAATCCCATCTGCCGTTTGAAATCTGCTTCAATTTTCTCTTTCTTTTCTAGTTTTTTCTTCTCTTTGGCGGACAGTTTCTTGGGTTCCTTAGCTTTCAGCTGCATACTATCTAAACTTGCACTCAATGCATCAACATCATTCACCGTTTTACTCTCAACTTTTTCATCCTTTTTAATGGATTCTTTGCTACTTAACTCTGCATCAGGTTCGTTCTCTTTACCACCGTCTTTTTTCTTCTTTTTCTCTTTCTGTTTTCCTTTAGTTATCTGCAGATTTTCAATTGCTGCTTCAATCACTTCAACAGGTTTGGACTCAGCTTTATCTTCAACATTTTCAACATCTTTTTTCTCTTCACCGAGTTCATCCCATTGTTTCTGTCGCTCCATCTTTCTTCTTTCCTTGGCATTGAGTTTTTTACCACCTTTCTCTTCTGCGACATCCTCTACTTTTTTCTCTTCTTTGGGTTTTGTTACATCCTCATCCTGTTCTTCTTCCTCTTCTTCCCATCCCTTTTTCCGCTCCAGTTTCCTTCTTTCTTTTGCTGTGAGTTTTTTAGGCGCTGCATTAGTGGAAGCTTCATTGTCAGAGTCCGATGCTTTCTTTGCAGTTTCTTGTTTAATGATATCTACATCACTATCATCATCACTTACTGCTTGTTTCTTCTTCTTTTCTAACTTTTTCTTTTCTTTAGCGGATAGTTTTTTAAGTACAGGTTTTGAGGCATCTGAGTCCTCATCAGGCTCTTCCACTTTCTTAGTTTTTTCTTTTTTAATGATATCCAAATCATCACTATCATCATCACTTACTGCTTGTTTCTTCTTCTTTTCTAACTTTTTCTTTTCTTTGGCAGATAGTTTTTTGAGCGAGGGTTTTGAATCATCAGAATCCTCATCAGACTCTTCTATTTTCTTAGAATTCTCTTTTTTAATGACATCTATATCATCACTTTCATCAGCACTTTCTTCCAACTTCTTTTTCTTTTCCAACTTTTTCTTCTCTTTCGCTGTTAGTTTTTTGGGTATTTTTCCTATGCGGTCCGTTGCGCTTGAATCTTCATCGGAATCTTTTTTACTGATGCTAAAATCATCACTTTCATCGTCACTTTCTAGCTTTTTCTTCTTCTTCTCAATTTTCTTTTTTTCTTTGGCACTGGACTTTTTGGGAGCTAAGCTTGCAACAGGCTCATCTTCATCTGACTCAATAAAAGATGCAAAAACATTACCTGATTTTCCTGACTTAGATTTTTTGACGTTTGAGTCTGAGTCACTATCATCATCTCTTTTCTTTCCTTTGGTTGGTTTATGCTCCTTACTCCTGAATCCTTCTTCATCTTTCAACTTTTTCTTATCTTTTGCAGACAATTTTTTAGCTTTCTCTGGAAAAAAGAAAAAGCTTATTATGGATATGTTCCTGGTCTTACAATTAGTAGGAGATGCTCATTAGAAGTCCTCAATACTTGTGTGAGAGAAATAGAAAAGGTAACAATTCTTAGGATGTAACATAATTTGCTTTCAAAGGTTGTGACAATGATTTGGAAATAATCCAAATTATATTGAATATATATATTTCAACGCTGTTTATTTGGCAATGCACTTAGAAATCAGGGTATTTGATGACATTTTTGGCAATTTAGATTTTTTTTTGTTTGAAAAACATGGAGACTAAAAGCTTAAGACTTCCAGCTTTGAGAGCACCCCAGGAACTTAAAGAACTTTGGAACCCAATAACCTAACTATGAACAAACAATGCGGTGAATAATAGCATTGACAGTTGCAAAAAAAACCCAGATAGATTCAAACCTTCTTGAGAAACAAAATGACTGTAATACTTACGAACTCCAGATAGAGAAGAAGATATCGAATCAGAGTCATTGAAATCATCCATTTGCTGTGAAAATGAAAGAGAGTAAGATAAATTTAAATTAGAGCTGAGGTATTGTGTAGCTTTTTTAAACAAAAATCCTAAATTTTAGTACAGTTAACAATCATTCAACCTAGTTTTCTATTAAGATTTTTACTATGTACAGATAAAGATGTGACATTGTGCACGAATTGTGGCGTTGTACTGTGTTCTTATTTAGACAGTAAGAGAAAATCTGGAGAAAATCCAACACATTCTGAAGAGATCTAACCATTTTTAGAATTGGTGGATACCAGAACACTACTTCAATGACTAAGTGTGAAAAATGCATATCTGCAGGGCATTGTTTAAAAATCTCTGGTGATGTATTATTTTCTTCAAGAAAAACTACGCAAAGTGCCCCCTCCTAATTTTGGGGCAAATTTCCGGAGAACTTCAGTGGGAATTTTTGATTAATCGGGCGAATTTATGCTAAAAGGAACTATATTGCACACAAACCCTAGGCACATAGTCCTTTTTAGCAAAAAGAACATCCAACTTTCCTCTAAATTAAAACATGAGCAGAGACTAACATTGTTGCAATCTGAGATACGCGTTGTTCAACTTTAGTCGTTGATAGGCTCCTCTTCCAGCAACTAGGATTTTTTTAAGACCTCACATTGAACTTTGTTGACCAAATGTAAGTCTTTTCAATTTTCTGCATTGAGTCCTTAAAGGTATACCACTGAATTGTTAGTTTTAAACCAGTAAAAAAACCTCATCAAGAAAAAGTACTTAAAGACTAAATTTTTCTCTGAATTTCAGGGTAAGCACCAATAATTTTTATTTATCAACCAAAATAACTGAAATAAATAAGTCTGAAGGTGGAGATCATTGTTTAAAAATTTTAAAATTTCCATGTGATTTAAGGATTAACCTGTTCAGCCCTGCACTCGATATCCTGGGCTCTGAGCTCTGCCCTCCAGGGGTTACCCCTGAGTATTCTTAGGCTTAGACTTCGCCACGTTTTTACATGATAGCGCCGTTGTGGTGGTCATTCAAATTAATAAGGTATGTGGCAATATAAACTAGGGATGAAGTGGTCTGTCATTTAAACTAATTTCCAACAAAAAGCATGCAGATTGTTTACAAAAGAAGTAATGTCATCTGCTTCTTCCCCCATGCTGGAACAAAAGTCTCCAAAATCGCCGCTCACACCCCTATTTTAATCAAGATATATCTTGAATACTTACATCGCTTCTGTTATTATTTCATCATTAGTTTTTGAATCTTTAAGTCTCACAAAAATGAATTTATTTTTAATATGGGCAAAAATGCTACAAAAAATATTAAAAAGTAAAATGTTTCAGCAGTTTTCAATTCCTAACCTATGCTGGGCTCATGCATATACTGCCATCAAGACAAAACTCCAGAAGGTAAGGGGTGGCTGAGCAGCCAAGCAGGCAAAGGGATCTGCGCACGGACTGTCCTAGCGTTTCTTGGGCCATGGAGGTTAATAAGATACAGGTGGAAATAAATGTTCCTTATCAATTTCAAACTGCATTTTTAGAGAGAGAAATGTGATGACAATAAGTGTAACAGTAATCATATCATAACCAAGTTGCAGATATAACTGATAACAGTATCGACCAGATAAGAGATCATTCATCTGATTGGTTTTGTTTTACCTAGTTTATAAATGAAGAAACAAAAATCTCAGGAGCTCAGGCCTGGTGGCAAAGGTTAAAAAAATAGTAGAACAATTTCATGAGCTCTTACCCCTTTCTTCAATTTCCTCTTTTCTTTGGCAGATAACTTCTTCTGAGGTTTGCCTGAAACACCATGGATTAACATATTGAAGTTATTCAAGACAGAGTTCTGTTCATAAGCTGACATGGTATTGATGCATTGTGGGCTCCAAAAGAAATGATCTCCTTGCGAGCATAATAGGTTGGTATCATGGAATTTTTAGGGGGTTGTTGTATGCTTTTTCCAACTTACAAATAATTTGGTGAACAAGCAAACAAGTTCATTAAAAAGTTAAAAAAGTCATTTGGAGGGGGAGAAAAAGCTAATGAAAATTCCACAAATTAAAAGCTGATAGTCGAGTTGACGTACTTAGTAAGGCGATGCCTGAATATGAGTTCAGCCAATCAGCAGACGTCCTTCCGCCGCCTGGCTCATCAAACAGGTCCCATTTTCGGCATTTTCAAAACAGTATTTCTTTGCAAACTAGGGTTTGGAAAAATCTGACAATTTTCTACGAGATTGGGTACTAATAACTTTCAGACAATGAATTTAAAAAAAAGGGTGCAATGGATCCATTACGGTCGACTGTTTAATCTACATGGCTGTGAACTTTTGGCTGGTCCTGTCACTTGCAACTTTAGGACATACTTACATGCCATTAACTTCTTAGAAGCTTCTGCATCTTTAGGAAGCAATTTAAAATTAAATTATTCAAAAAACTTTTCAACCGCACTATCTTGATGAAGCAGATAGACCTGTCCTAGATCAAATTCTTTTGAATTTTTTACGAGTTATTGAATTCTTTAAGAATTGAATATTTCAGGTCAATTAAGAGAAACAAAAAATAAAGAAAAAAGAAGAAAGAAAACTTCTGTGTTAGGTAATTTGCATTCTTTTTTTCAAAAATATCATGAATGGCGAAATGATAGAATTCCGTACCCGATGCTTGACTTTCTTCATCATCATTCACTGCTGGTTTCTGAGACGTTTCTACTTCAGAGTCTGAGTCATCATGTTTCCGGCCTTTCTTCGACTTTGCTGGCTTAGTTTCAAATTCCTCCTTTATATATTTAAAAAAAAAAAAAAAAAAAAAAAAAAAAAAAAAAAAAAAACAGCAAGTTAAAGTTACATTACAAATTGAACGGCAACATGAAGTCATATTTTGGCACAGAAGCAAAAAATGTTCCGTTTCATATCAAACTCAAACTCATTTAGAATCATATCCAACTTTCACCTGCAAAGGACGACTTGAACATTGAAGACATAACGTCACATTAGATTGCATTTTCACAACTCAAGTATGATAAATTTGTTTAAAATTATGTATCAACAATAAACAGGTTTCAGAGAGTATGCTGCATCTAGTATGGTTGTTAAGATAGTCTTTGACAGACACAAAAATTCAGTTAAATTTACTTAATTAACTTGCGTATTCTAGGTGTCCGAATTTGAACAACAACGTTTTAAATAATATGTTTAATTGTCTGGCAGGATATCAATCCAAGGAGATGTATAATGGCCCAGGTCAACAAACGCAGACTATGATGATTAAATGGACTCTATTAAGCAGAAAAAATTTATGGACAAAGGCAGGTTTGAAGAAAGCATGTACATAGATGGCCAAAGCCAAAAATGCATCCTTAAATTGAAATGTTTAAAACTCTTTGATTATGTTGCTTCTAATTTAAAGGAAACTATCCATAATGTCTCCTTGAAATTTTCGATAAATATTTAAGGGGAAAAATTCACAGGAACTTTACAGAAAAACTGTTGCTTTGTTCTCTTTAAAAAATCAAACAAAAAAGGAAAGTATGGAACAAAGGAAACTGAGGTAAGTAATATCTACCATATAATGTATGTAATTGACGAACTTATATAAGGAGAGGTACCCTCTGTATGATATATCCATTCTGTGTAAGTAATGGAGTCTAACTTGCAACATGGAAAATGGGATGAATATCTTACCTCTAGTTTCAACTTCTTCTTTTCTTTGTTAGACAGCTTTTTGCCTGCAGAAAAATAAGAAATCATAATAATTAGCAAGCTATAGCAAAAGCTTTCCTGCGGAGTCAAAAAACTTGCAGTATACCTGAATAAATTTTAGTAAAGAGTTGACTAAGAGAAACAAAAATTACAATGCTCCAATCGTTGACTGAGGTTTATCTCAGCGTATTTGTGAATAAAAGTTTCAACCTTACTGACTTACATGATTGACAGATATCTTAGATTTCTGTTCTAAGGGAAAGATGTTGGATAACATTTTTTAGCAACAAGTTAATTTTAACTTGTTGCTAAATGTTTACATTTCAAAGGTTCAGAGCTGGTGGGAATAAGCTTTAGTTCGGGTGCCACTTCACTACAGAGGAAGGTAGAATGATTACTTAAAAGGAAGTAAAAATATTGATTGCAAAGTCAGCAATCAATATATACTTCGGTAGAAATTCAATCGTTATATTGAGATAAAAATCTTGAACGTGGATCTGTTATAGCTGCTATGAGAACACTTTAACACCGCCACCAAAACTATAGGTTTATAATATCCATAGTTTTATCAGACTCGTGAATGAAGACTCAGGAGGTTCTGCTGCCAGTTATAACACTGCTGGGTGTGATGTCCTCCACCAATCATAGCTTCCATCAGTAAGGCAATCCAAGATGTCTCCTCCAGTCTTGCTGTACGTACTTAGTTGTAAATTGTGCCTCTTGACTGAATCAATGATGAATGATCTGTTTCTCCCAAGTCCATGTTGTCTTCCTTCCTCTCTGGTTCACAGGATACGTCAAATGGCAATGAGGATATAAAAGTTGGATTTGCAACTGTAGTCAAGTTAAAGTCTTTAATGTACAGTCCAATGGACGTCTGTCTTGCCAGGCACATATTCAAATCATATCAGATCACCCACTTCATAAAGAGGTATGAGCTACATGACAATGTCCAGCAAAGCTGGAGGTGATATCTTGAAGTACCTCTGAGTGGTGATTTGTAGAAGACACCGCACCCGCCTGCCTGAAGTCTCTCCATGATGATACATGCTACAGATCCAAGCCAGTCTTGTTCGGGTGGGTAAGAGTATTAATATAAACTGAGGGATTATTTAATTGCTTTGCAGCTCCTACCAGGAATGACGAAGACAGCACTTCCAAAGAAGAGCACTTGAATTCAACGAGAGCAGTGCATTTTTCCCACAGCTTTTCACGGCAAACTTGAGAAGTTTACAGCACTATCATAAGCGCCTGGAGCTTCTGAATCATTCTTCGACTCAGTACAGTAACTCCAGGAGTACATAGTATGGATACATCCAGAACAGGTGAGGACCTTCCTGACTGAACAGTTTGTACCCATGTCAACGATACTAAAACTGGGCAACTTTTCCTTTCTTTTTCCAAGTATTGAAATCACCCACATTATAAATTTCTCTGCCAAAATATTCAGAAAATAGAAGGAAAATTTGAGGCAAATTGCAAAACAAAGCTCACAGCTCTCTACCGACTAAATAGCTGAATGAATGCACAATCTTAGCACCGTTAACATGGGTATAGGATGTTTGATCGGTAAGGTCCTCAGTTGCTTGATGGCTACGTGTGGCTGAGGAATCAAAACGAGATTGCGGAGTATTTAGGAATCATGTGGGGCGAAACAAGAGAACATATTCTCTAAAATGGAACAAGAGCTGAGCAATGAGGCTGATATTTTATAGAATGTCAAAGCGCAAAATGAAAATTACAATATGCAAGTTGAATGAGCTAAGGAATGAAAGTAAGCTCAATAATTGAGGTAATGAGAGAGAAACGCATCCATGAATTTTCAGAAACATATGCTCTAGTTATCATTCCATACTGAGTGTGCAGGATTGGATTTGAGAATGGACAAAGATTTTTTGATTCATTGAATGGAGTGTCATACCTGATGTTTTCTCTTCAGCTGGCATGGTGACAACTTTATGAAGCTTTTTTAAAAATTTAAGTAATTTACTTAATTTACAACTACCAAACTAATAACGAGATTGAAGTGAAGTGTACACGACACAACTCAGTTCTAATTATCGTAATCGCAGAACCGTAGTCAAAATCAGTTCAAGTAAACCTGGAATTTACTTATAGGTTAGAAAACTGAAAAATGATGGCGCATGGCGCAACCGCGCAACTTGAGTTGTTTCTGAATTTGCAAGGTACTTTCACACCGTCCGACGTGCGGCTTGAGCGGCCCTGCGCGGCCTCGTCAGGGCACATACTTAGGTTCAGGTTTCAGGTGATGCTGCATCGATCTAGTTTACAAATTACAAAAAAATAAATTTTCCGAAACTGATCCCACTCTCCTGCCTTTCACGATGATTTAAAACATTCAGCTCTCTGCTCACTGCTGAAAGACAGGACTCGAATCCTGCGACCAGAAGCGATAAAGTTAAAAAAAACCATCGCGGTGCCGAAGAATAATTTTATTGCATTTTATATTATTATAAAATCTTCAAAAAGTGTACAGTGACATTTTTGTCATCCCCGAACGTCCCTCCCCCTCCCTCCTTGCACTTCAGATGAAACTAAGCATCCCCAGATGAAATTAGTGGTGTCTTCTCTTAACTCTTATTCTCTCCTCCAAAGAAGTTTGGCTGAAAAATATTCACTCTATATCGCAAATTTTCTAATTGTCTCTGTGCCAAAATTACAGAATTCACAATTTAAAACGCAACCCTACGAAATTTAGGAAAAAAGAATGACTCTTGGGAAAACAGAGGATGTCTATAGGTTGCTTACGACTTGTTGGGGAATAAATTTGCGACTCAATTGCTTTTCAACTTGAGTGACTTTATACAGGGTGTCCCAAAAGTCCGTACCCCCCCCCCCCCCCTCGTTACATACAGGGTGTCCCAAGTCCCACCCCCCCCCCCGATAACTTTTGAACGGTTAGAGATAGAAAAACGAAACTTTGAGAATTTTTGTATCTCATAGGGGACCATCTTCTGGGGAGGGGGGGTCAACATTTTTGCCTCTCTCTCAAGGGGGGCGGGGGGGGGCAACTTTTATTTTCAAATGGTAACCCCTATCTTTTGATGCATTGATGGAAAAAGCATAAAAAACTAAGAATTTTGGCACAAACCGCACATCAGTATTTTAATTTTTGACAGAGTCATGATAGATCAAAGGTCAAATTTGACCTATTTTCAAAAAATCATGACTCCGGTTCAAATTATCGTAGAGAAAAAATAAAAAGGGGAAAATTTAGCAAATTGTACAAGCACTTTTAAGTACAAATCACAGAAATTACCTCAAATTTTAACTAAATAATTACTAATATAGGGGGGGGGGGGGGGTTCGGACCCCAAAATACGTCAGTTCAAAAGGTCATAGGTACGATTTTCTCGCTAAATGAACCAATTTTCTCTAACTTTACCTCGACAAATCTCGGTAAATTAAAAATTAGTTCAATATTGCGTTATCAAGTCCCCAAATTTCGGACAGAAGTAAAATTGAAGTGCTTTTTCCATCGATGCATCACAAGATAGGGGTTACCATTTGAAAATAAAAAGTCGGGGCCCCCCCCCCTTCCCCCCCCTGAGAGAGAGGCAAAAATGTTGACCCCCCCCCTCCCCAGAAGATGGTCCCGTATGAGATACATACAAACATTCTCAAAGTTTTGTTTTTCTATCTCCAACCGTTCAAAAGTTACCGAAGGGGGGCGGACTTTTGGGACACCCTGTCGTGGCAAATGACAACTAAAGTCGCTCATTTCCTCTGCGCTCTTACACCTTTTCCGGATTTTGGCGCCGCACTACGTCAGTGTAGACCACGCTTTATGATTCACCTGATCTAATGCTGCTACCTGATTGGTCAGTGGTCGGCAAGCAACCGTAAGCAGGACTCGAACCCGGGACTTCTGATTAGACGGACATGTGCGTTCTAGTGCGTCCTCTTTTCAGTTTTCGAGAGATTCTCGCGTGATTTTGTGTTACTTCTCTTTACTGTCCGATAGAAACTCATCGCGAACGGGCGAAAGCTTCTAAGACTGAAAATGTAAGTTTGTCATTAATCTTGAAAGCAGTTTTACCGAACGTTTGGAAGAAATCTGATTTTCTCTCGCTGATTTTAGGATTTCCCTTTCGCACCGAATATTACTGGATCCGGTATTCATTTTTACCTTGCCTAGCTGTATGAACCGATTACATAAGTGAAACGCACTTTGGCCGTGTTTCAGGACACTCTAAAGCTTCTCAGTGTACTATTTTGATCTGTTTTCCATTTCTCCAAAAACAATACTTCCGTGAAAATCATCTCATTCATCATCCTTCACTGACTTAAAGTGATAGTGACTTTGGTCATCTTTGGTATTGGTACCTATTCGTTTTGTCTTCCTCTTGTCTCGTGCTTATCCTGTTTCGCATCTCTCGATGTAATTATTTTAACGCTGACTCATTAGTTGATTCCTTCATCACCCGTGTTTTTCCGTTTTGGCTCTTGAAAATCGGACGTTTCGAAATACAACAAGAAGTTACCATCTTTGAAAAGTGAGGACCTAGAAGTGAGACTTGAGTGTTATCATGAGTTGTGTTTCTAGAGCTATCCCCTATCATCTTCATTTGCAACTTCATTTCCTGTATTACCTGCTAGTTGACCTTGACATCTAAGTTGCTCATAGAATTCTAATATCTGTTTGTGTTATCATAGATTGTGGCCGAGAGAGAACCGCCTGTCAATCCGACGCAGCAACCATTTGATTTGGAAATTGTAAATCAATTCTCACATTCCAATGGCTGGCAAAACCAAAGCAGTTTGTGTGTTGAATGGAGAGAAAGTCAAAGGAACTATTTTCTTCACCCAAGATGTGAGTAATTCATTTCCATATTACAGTCATCATGAGAGTGTTTTTTTTGCTCTGCTACAACTAACACAATCAGCCTCAGCTTAGAACATTAAGCCCGAGTATTGATGATAACTTAGGGTTCCACATAATTGAAGAGAATGTGGTCTGTAGTATTGATTTGAAAGTTTAATGAAGATACGCTTGGAGTTCAAAACTTGCAAAATCCACCAAGTAATATCTCAGTGTTTCTCCCCCATTCAGTCTCATGAACTGTCGGAAGGATCTTTCCGAAATTTTTGCTCCAAAGTTTCTTTTTGGTGTAGATAAAACTTGGAAGAATATGCAGTAAGTATTATGCCCTTTATCGATGTTCGAATTCCACTGTGGAAAAAAAATGCTTCAACATCACAGAGGATTTGTAGGTTATGCAAGCACTGCACATCGGGAACTGACATTATCTGTCTTCTCGAAGTGACAGTATCTATAATTAACGCACAAATTAAGAATGCATACCTACACTTGTCACATCATATTCCTTTTACCACATAATACATGGTTAATAATGCAACACATATTAGTGAACTTCGTTTATTCAATGGAAACAGAGGGGCGGGTGGTTGGCAATGTTCCCGGGTGCTCCGTGTGCGAGATCCGTACTCTCTGCCTTTCTCCAAGCTGCTATTGGCTACTTCATCATTTTGTGACTTCAGGCGTACGGATATTTTAAGATAGGGAAGTGTTCCCCCATGAGGTTTTTGTCCGTATGCTGTCCGCGCCAAGATAGGGAAGATCTGCACGGCACTGATATATCCGCACGCTTGGGATCACTGGTGGTCAGATGCCCTCTACACTGTCATGGTAAGCAAGAACCATGGTTTCCTATTCCAGGTTCTGTAGTTATTTCTTCGACTTATTTTCTAATAAAGAGGCAACTTTCATTCCTACATAATTTGTTAATTCAGGATTTATATCGGAGGGTATGAAGAATGTATCCTGAAAGACTTAAAAATGCGCTTACTCAGGCTTGCTTTTTATGGAGCACTGTCACTTCTGTCTGTAAAAGACTCAAAATTCGGAGTTGAGTTCCTCGGTTTTTGCTTCGCACAGTTTTAAAGTAGGGACAGAGGGGCTCCTAAATGCCACCTTTCGTTATTGATGGGATTCTTTACATCACAGCTCAAAGATCAAGACAGGACCGAAGAAAGTAATAAATAGTCTATCAAGCAGAGAGCTACTGAAATTCTGGCACTCAGTTTTACCTCAGTATCGCTTTTGGCTTTCACTTACACTCATTCTTGTTTGATTCCAGGAATCCAGTGGTCCTGTCTCTGTCACTGGAGAAGTTCAAGGATTAGCTCCAGGGCAACACGGATTTCATGTCCATGAATTTGGGGACAACACTAATGGTAACTTAATTTTTCACTGTAATACACATTTGACCACTTTTATACTCAGTTGATTAGTTTTCCATTCAGAAAAGAATCTCGAAAGGCACACTCTAGCCATCTGCTTTGCCGTCTGGAGCAGAAAAATCAGAAAAAAGTGTTTCAGTTTTCTCACCTAATAACTTCTTTTTGCCAGACAGCCTGCGCACTTTTCCTTGCAACTCGAAATCAAATCGAACTTTTTATGAGCGATGAGGCTCTCTTTGTAATTTTCTAAATTGTTTTTTTAATTGTGACCTCATCGGTGCTAAAGGATCTCAACTTCTTGGAGATAACTTTCCTTAACTTTTTGTGAACACAGGATGAAAAAAGAAAATCTGGACATTTTTGCATAAGTTTGACCTTTAAATTTCAAGAACTGATATAGGAATTAGTCTTGAAGTCACACGAAAAAAATTCTTAGGATTTTGAAAAATGTGTCACTCAAAGGTTTACGAAAAGTAGGGTAAAGTTATTTTCTAAAAGTGAGGTCCCTTTCCACAAATCCTGTCACAATTATGAAAATGTTTCATTCTTTTTAGGATTATCTTGAGCTTCTTTTGTTTTCTAAGAGAAATTCATGAACAATGGAATTACTCACAGCATTTGTCTTATTAACAAATGAGTTTTGATTTTGGTGCAATAACTCATAATTTTGACTTGTATCGAGTTGGCTCCATGTAGCATTCTAAGTGAAATCGGAACTTTTGTATCAGTCTTCAATGAAAATTTGACACTCCTATCCTTTTGAATTTATATAGGATGCACAAGTGCCGGTCCTCACTTCAATCCTGGGAAAAAAGACCATGGAGGTCCTGACGATGAAGTTCGGCACGCTGGAGACTTGGGAAATGTGATTGCTGACTCTGATGGTGTGGCTAAAGTCAATATTACCGACAAACAGATTTCACTGAATGGCCCTCTGAATATCATCGGTCGTACTTTAGTGGTAAGTTATTTTCTTACCCTCATATTTCTATTCAATGAACTCTCACTAGTTCTCTACATTCAGCTGAATTCAATTATGTAAAGACTGCTAGTCAATTCCTTTGTCCTCTTCTACCTAAAAAGTATGGAGCTAACTACAATGGACCACTGGACAAGGTACGAAATCAAGAGCTACAATGATTATGGTCTCATTAAAATCTTATGTGGAGTAAGCTTGAAGTTGTCCAAATTCAACTCATATGTTAAGAATAGTTTAATTTGCTTGCTGCCATATGAGTTAGTTAGGTACCCGACAATTATAGATGTAAAAAACTTTCCTTGTCTGACAAATGATAAGTCTCGTAATTTTTTGTGTGCCTTAGGTCCATGAAGATCCTGATGATCTTGGCAAAGGTGGCCATGAATTGAGCAAAACAACTGGAAATGCCGGAGCAAGACTTTCCTGCGGTGTGATTGGAATCACCAAGTATTGAGAATCAAAGAAGTCTATGAAGCAATTAAAGTTTCATCCTGTCATTCCGAAATTGTGACCGCTCTCCTATGGCCACACTCGCTTCTTAGAATTCTTCTCGCTTGAACTGACCCAATCCTTTTCAGTTGAGATTTTTGTGCACAATTTTAGAGGTTGATTTAGCCTAAGAATTGTGTCTTTTCAGTTAAGTATTCTATGTTATTATGCCTGTACCTTTGTACCTTATCTTACTTATACAAATGATTAATCACGTTCCATGTTAGGTATTTTTGTTGTTAATAAATTGAACGATTAATGTTTAAAAGACTTGTCTTGTTTTTTAAATCACCTCAGTTTTTCAATCTTTAAATTGAACTGTCTCTGCTCTGAAGAAACCAGGATTGATCAAGGAATTTCACATATCTTGGAAAATCAAAAGTTAGTCGGGGAATTGATGTTAAAACTCAGAAATTTCTCCAGCAGGGTCGATTTTAGCTTGAAAAAGGCTTCCCTACACATGACAATGCTCTCACATTTAAAACACAGTTATCAAGTGAGCTTCAATATAAGTAATGATCAAAAATATAGAGCGAATTATTATCAAATTTTGTTATAAAAATGCTTTTATTAAACAATAAATAATAATTTGAACATCTAAATAATAATAAGAATGCACATACAAACAATAATTAATAGATTCCAAGTAGAAAACTTTTATCATTGAGAGGGGTTAAAAAGAAAGTCCCCTACTAAACAAGGATGGACGGATGTCTTGAGTTGGCTTGCCCTGACAAATGTGTTTGAAGAAATTTGTTAATACTAGGTGATGTCATGTATTAGTCAGTTGGACGTATTCATGTGAGATGGAACTATGTGCAAGTGGAAAGATGGGATGTGCTCGGGCCATAAGAATGAATCGGACTTTGAAAGCGCGAGTGATGTCAACGGTGAAGACCAGGCGGGACGAGGCGCGACACAAGCGACCAGTCTTCAACTCATGAGCCCTATCCATGACGCTCTTGTCACACACCCACAGCTCACGATTTAGCACTCAGTTCCTTTTAATTTAATTGAAAATCCCCCTTTCCATTTTCTCAAAAAGAACAATATCCATTTTTACATTGTTTCTTATGCAGCTTCCACTAGTACACCCCATCTTTTCACTTCCACATGGTTCCTTTCAGCATAAATACGTCCAGTTGTATATTTTCGTTTGTCAGGCAGCTTTAAGGGAGGCAAATCATTTAACTGAAGCAAACACCCACATTTGTCTGATTAGACATTGAGGAAAGCTTTGTGCAAAGCAAATAAGTAGATGGGTAACAATAGATCTAAAATTGCACGGAACAAAAGACCATGCACGTAACACCAAGGGATTCAGCACTGGCTGAATTTCGATGTAGTTTGATATGGTGTGACTTTTGACCTTCGAGCATGATGAGCTTTTAAAATCGAATCAGTATTCCGTGCATAGCACTTTTTCAACTGTTCTCTGACAAAAAGTGTGGTGTAAGACTTCGCAACTTGGTAGGTAAGTTACGAATCATGAGAAAACATTTTTTGAGGAAAATATGTGGGGAAAAAAAAATTTGCCTCCTCTTCATAAATGCAGGATAAATCAAACATAAATTGTCAATCATAAATTGTTTCATAGTTAAAAAGCACCATTTAAAATATACATGTATAAGCCAAAATAAAATGACCGCACAAGAGACTCAGCCATTCATTTTCTTATTTAATACAAATATGTGCATGGACTAATCCTCCATGGACTGTATCTTCAATTAATATAGCTTTCTGAAGTAAAGAATTTTGGCGAAATTTTAATACTGGAAGCATAAGGACCTTTAAAAATGATATTTAGAAATTAGACGGCCCATTCAAACTCAGTCCTGGAACTTATACCACTTATAGCTCCTTTTTTTAAAACCAAACAGAGTTAAGAAGGAAACAGTATGAAAATTTTTTCCTATCTTGAATTTCCTTTTTCTTTCTTTTTGAGATTATCACCATCAATATTCCTCTTATCAATGGAATACCTTGTTCTGAGAAATCTCATTTCATTTGATTTCCGGTTCATATTGGTTTTTTCTTCCCCTCCCTTTCTTTTCATTTTGGGTGTGCCACACATTATGGTCGTCCCTCTTGTATTTCAACGGTGTAATTGGGGAATTCAGATTTCAGTCTTTTTCTCACAATTTGTCTATTTTCACTTCTAGTAGCGGGCATCATCATAAAAGTTAAACTCACATTCTGATAAGAAAAGTTTCAACCAATACAGGATGGCACGCAGTCAAATGCCTTGTGTTAATCACATTAGTAATATAGCTAAGTCTGAATTTATTTCAAAGTCTTTTTCCATATCAATCTATGAGCCTTGTGTAACTTTTTTACTTTCGTTACTCTATAGTTCCTGATATTATCTTTGAGAATGAAACTTCAAGCTAATCCCTTCATTCAATGTATGTACCTAGGTACAAGTTTCACCAGCACTTCAGTTTGGTATCCTTTTTCAATCATTCCCTCTACTACTTTAAAATTAATTTACTCTCTTGTATGCATGATAAAGGTTTGTCCAGCTCACACTGCCATGTTCTCAAAATAGAGTGACTTAAAAAAAAAAAAAAAAAAAAAAAAAAAAAAAAAAAAAAATTTCCACTTGATTAGAACTGGAATTTCAAGGATTACTTTAATTGAGTTTTTAGGAATGAATGATCTGGGTCCTTGCAGGATTATTCATTGGCGCGTAATTCACTTTTGACAACGCAAAGGACCTTCTCAAGGTTGCTATCTAGATTAGACCCTTGGTTGTTCTGCTGCTCTACTGCGCATTTTTATCAATTCAAAATGCTCTTTCCCCATTACGCTTCTTGATATAACTTCCTTGAGAGCTACAACTTATTCTTTTTTAGTGTTGTTACATTTAAATGGTAACTGTATTTTTGAAAAACGGAACTTTTAATTTATTCAAATGAGTAGGTGGAACCTTCATTAATCTGTTCTGTAAACGAATCAAAAGTGCAACCCTAAAAAAGTTCTGAGAAATTGATAAGAGACTGGTGACGAGAGAATTGATAACTAAATCATCATTGACCATCACTTGGTTAAATTTTACAACACATCTTTTGGAGCTGACTTGAGTTAGAAGAGATATTCGGAGGGCATGAACTCAGGAGTCTAGTAACTTGTGTAAAGAGTCATTTTCAAGGAGCTGGGTAATATTTCAGGAAAAAAAATACCACCAATCTCGAGGTTGGTGGAGGAAAATTTTGATTACGAAAAATATTTTCGAGGATAACACAGCCAAGAAAAGCAGCAAGAAGTTCACCACCACCTCATGGAGATAATTACGGAGGACAATCATTCCGCATCTACATATGGCCATCACCGGAGAGCCCGATTTGAAACCAACAAACAGACACAGATTTCTCATCTTTATCAGAACGATACAAATTAACCTTCTTTATCCTGAGGTTAAATCATCATCGCCTATACTGCATTGCTTTCATTCGCTCATTTTTCCACCGAAGTGTTGCACTTTGATCTGGAGGCGGCGGAGCTCTGAATGGGGCCGAGTTACTTTTGAAAAGACATAAAATTAATGTGTAAAGACCATACACAGCATTATTAATGACATGCAAGCATCCAAAGAGGATAGGAGTTGCAGCTTCCGTGAAAATGGATACCTCACGCATGAATTTGAGAAGAAATTCGCCAAAACAGTAGGTGAAATTTCCTAAAGTAACACAAATTGTCAACAATAAAGCACTCAAGAACTGCACTGCTAATTTAAAATTTGTATACGTGAAAACCTCTAGAAGAAACTCAGTGAAATGTCTGGACAGCACTGCAATTCTTTTTTTCAAAATTTCTGCAAGTGGTTCGTCTTCGTTGTAATCAGGAATTTCAAGTTCATTGGCCTCGAGTCTCCTGTGGACACAGTAAGAAAAGGAAATTTTTAAAGTTTTGCTGGAAAAAATTATCAGAGGAACTTAAAGATAATCTGCTTGATTAAGATTAAACCACTGATTCATGCCTTGGAGTCCTCTCTCCTTAATAAATCTTGAAAATTAAAGATTTTCTTTTGCATGGCACTGCATTTGTTGCTAGATGCTATTATTGAGGAGCTATAATGGAGATGTTGCATGTGTGAGGGATTTGCGATTTGACTGCTGTTACTTATGTAAAAGTTCACGAGAAATACGATGGTGCCACTGGTTTTCTCTGAAATCATCTCCCAAGCTTAAAAAAAGCTCTTAAAGTGAGGCCAAAATGGAGGGGATATCCCGCCTTACCCTGAGAGTCCACATCTACATCAAAACAAACTCTCCATGCAAAGATAGGGAGCAAATACATTAGCAGGGTTGCCATGTTTTCAGTTTTGGAGTCTCCAAATAAAAAGGCAACCCTGTCAATGTATTTGCTCCCCTATCTTTGCATGGAGAGTTTGTTTTGATGTAGAGGTGGACTCTCAGGGTAGGGCGGGATATCCCCTCCATTTTGGCCTCACTTTGAGAGCTTTTTTTGAGCTTGGGAGATGATTTCAGAGAAAACCAGTGGCACCATCGTGTTTCTCGCAAAATTTTACATAAGAAACAACAGTCAAATCACAAATCCCTCACGCATGCAACATCTCCATTATTATTGGCATTTCCATCTCTTGAAACTTGGAGGGATGTTTTATCTCATTGAAAAAGGTCAGGAGACCTCTAAAAAAGTGTAATTAGTTTAATAGCTTGTAATACGGAAGTAGATGCATAGCTTTCTTGACTTACAAACTAATTTATCTGCTTTACCTTAAAAATGATATGTCATCAAAAATTGACGGATCAAAATTTTTGTTTTTCATTCTGATTGTTGAAATGAGTCTTATTCAGCGTATAATCTTTGACTTATCCTTGTGACCTCAGAAATGTTCATCGAAAAGAGAATTTTACTCTTCATGGCTATCCGCCATGGCTTAGAAATTTTGATGGAATCATCTATCATGATGACAGGCTAATTACTAGATGATAAGATCCATTATCTTCTTACATTTCCAGGTTTTTTTTTAGTTTTTTATTTTGTTCTTTTTCTTAACAAAAAATATTCCTCCAAAGTCAAGGAATTGAATAAAGTTTTGAGCCAATTAAGAGAGAAGCCATTTATAAATTAGCAAATATGGTGAAAAATAAAAAAAAACCTGCATAAAAAACTAATCCTAAAATTTAAAAATACATATTTTATAAGTAGCATACAAATTAATCCAACATCTTGTCCAATACCAGTTTAAAAAATTGTGAAAAAGATATTCAAAATTTGTTCCGCACACACTTGAATGAAGTGTAAATTGGCTATTCATTCACTAGATGCGTACCTGGTAAAAAGCACAGAAACACCAACTTCCGCCTCGTTGGCAACGATTCCTGGCATAAAGAATAAATAATCTCCAAATGGCTGCTCGTGTGCAGGTGGGATCCAAAGCAAAATTTCAGATTCACCAGAACCTTCACATTCTTTTTCTAGAAAATAGACAAAACAAAATATACCTAGGTGCACTAATTTTTTTCAAATAAAATATGATTGTTTCTAGAATATAACTCACTTTTCTTTTTTCGGTCCTGATGTTGTCTTGAATGAAATTCTGTTAGACGATGATCATTTCGATTGCTCATATGCGTTCATCTTCAGGTCAATGGGATCGCGAAACACGATTTTGTCAAACAAAATACGTAATAATGTTAGTGTTTTGAAAAAGCTTTTAATGTTTTGATAGGTGTTTTGTTTGACAAAATCGTGATTCGCGATTCCTATTGACCTATAAGCGTTCGAAATGATCATCGTCTAACAGAATTTCATTCAAGACAACATCCGGACCAAAAAAAGAAAAGTGAGTTACATTCTAAGAAAATCAACAACCTGATAAAGTAATTCTGAGACTACTTTCTCCATTCGTTACTTAGAGATAAAGAGACCCCGGCTTAAGGAGACAAATTTTCAGGAGAACAACTAAGAAGCATCAAGTTGGGTTGAAAAATCAGAATCCGAAAATGCAGTGGAAATCAGTTTCTGGTGTCCTATAAAATAAGTTGGAAGCAATTTTATCTGACAACAAAGGGTGTCATTTTGGAAATTGGGAACCTTGCCAAAATTTGGTAAGTACCTAGGACTGCAACCTTTCAATCATGCTCCAGTTTGGGTTAATATTTTTGATGGCAAAATGTTCGTATAGCATCCTCTTCTCTAATAGCGTTTTGTGTTTCCCTTAGTCTCCTTTCCTTGTTCTTTGCTATTGTTCCTGTTGAGTACTTACTTTTAATACCATGTAGACCTGGCAGCGTGCAGCTCACTTCAATCGATTGATTCCATTTAAACTTAATGCTGGTCTTGCAACGGTCACATTAATAGCATGGCTGGATTTATGTGACTGCTTCGAGTGCCACAGCCTTGACGGCCTGTCGGCCGTATAAATCGGGCCATAAACATTAGAGGAAAATTATCACACCAAATAGTTGCTTGAGAATAATGCACTGATTTCATTGAGTGAACTAAATGATGAGCTTGAAGAATGCACTTACCAGCAGGTTGTCAGGTTTACAAGATATTGAAAATATATACGTAACAGTTCCCGCCATGTCATTTTTCTTCCATAGATATGTATAGTATTTGTTAATGAAAATTTTGTTGTCCATGAAAAAAGTTAAGTTAAGGAAAAAGGGAAAACCCAACCCTTACAACAAGGTATCAATTGTGACAGAACTGTTGAGAAAATTACCTGTGATTCCGATGAAGGAGTCCTTATACCTTTCTAATGGTTTTAAAATTCTTATGGCAACCCTGGCTTTCTTCAAGAATTCCTTCTCTGATTGATGGATGACGATTACATCACTGAAAAATTCAAAAAGAAATAAGCTAACTTGTACATGATAAATAAATGAGTTGGAGCAAAAATTGAATTTAAGGACAGTAGAGTGAAAATACACAATAAACAATAAGTTAACTTAAGCCAGATCACAATATTGCAACCACTTACTCATGAACTCTTTTTCATTGTACTTAAATCTGCAAAGCAAATTTCAATAGCATACTTAATTTACTTGATTAAAGGGACTCACCGAGGGCCATTTAAAAATGGAATATTTCTGCGCTCTCTAAAAGTGCCTTTAAAGACATTGTTCCGCAGAAGCTCATTGACTCGCTGAAGAATATGCATAGGATTTATGGTTTCTTCGCTGAATGATTTGCTTGGTGACTTGGACATACTTCCTTTACTTTGGTGTTCTGAAAAAGGAAATCATATGTTAACACGGAATCAAGGAAATAAAAAAAAAACTCCCAAACAAAGGAAAACAAACATAATAGCTGCTTCAATTCGACTTTGTCTCCAACATTTATCGACAACTATTTAGCCAGGAAATAGAAACATTAGTTTCCCAAAAAGGAACACTATCTCAGTCTATTTACCTGCATATTAGTGTAGGTGCTGTAAATCAAGAAACTACTGTTCTGCAAAATTTTTTTAAAAAATGGTTACTTACTGAAATATGATTGAAAAGCCAGATCAGAGTGGTATTTTTTCTTACTTGCTTTGGCCTTTAATTACTTACACCCAAGCATAGAGTACATAGAGTCGCAATGTATGTGGAAGAGATGGCGCCACTTTTAAGCATTTTCCAGGTCCCGAATTCCCAGACTTCTGGATGACGCCAGGTCAATTTTTCGATACATGATCGATTGTTTGTGATACACAAGCACCCGGCCATCCGATGTAAACAAAGGAGATAGAAATTACCATGTATTTCATACCGCCATTATTGATCAAACATGTATCGAAAAAGTGACCCGAGCTCGGCGCACACGGGGCTCGGAACTCGTCGAGCAGAACATGGCGCCAGCAATTCAAAGTATTCAAATTCAGGTATGCAAACAGTAAGTAGGGGTGGACTGGCACCAAAAAGTGACTGGAAATTTCCCCCTATCAGAGCTCAGACTGGCCCATTTTGCCTCATGAGTAGAGCAAACCAGCTTTAATTCACCTTAAATGTCAACCCACCGCCTGAGATTTTTCCGAGAGTTCCTGCCTGCCTGGTAGTCCCTTACAGCAAGTATGTAGGATGAAGCAGATTGATTAAATTCAGACTGTGTGTGTATAATTCAAAAGGAATGTAGTGAATAATTCAATTCCTGGATTAGACTGTCCAAATACCACGAAAAAAAGTGGTCATGTTATGATTTTAAAAATGCATGAAAATGCGAACATGCGAGTACTTTTTACTAGATGTGTGTAAAAAACGTGAGGTTCTTAGAGACTGAGACAGAGCGGGAAGTTTAGAGAATAGTTTATAAGTAACAAGACGTAAAAGTGAACTGAACATGCAACGTTCGGTGCACTTACTCGTAGCTGGGGTTCTTCAAAGAAAGAAACAAAACTTGGGTGAAAAAGAATTTCTTATTCTTGAAAGCACTGTTTAATCTGGAAACTATCTAGAAATCAACAACGAACAGAATTCATTTGTTTAATAAGAGATTTGAACAAGAAAATGCAATACAATTTTTGTCGCAAAATTTGGTACCTACACATTTGTTTATTTACAAATAATTTGAGGTTAACTTCAGAGCTAAAATTTCTCGTTCCCTGATTGGTTCTTCTTTACGACGTCAACAAGACGGCGGCAAATTTAAAGGGAAGTATGTTGTCCGTAGGAGAGGTAGCCCGGGGGGGGGGGGGAGTGCTGGGGTGCCGGCAGGGAAAATAACTTTCCGGAAAAACGTAATCCACCTGGTCATTGGTTTTACGGTAAAAAAAAAAATAGATCCCTGAAAGACTCCGAATTTGATCTAACTTGGCACTGATAGTTTAGCATAAATGTTTTGAGGTGAAACAATGGTATGTAAAACAAACCAAATTTTACATGCCAGGATGTGACAATTTCCATCATTGTAATAATTTTTGGGAGGTAAATTCTTAGAAATTATTTTATCATCAAGATATTGTATTTCAGCTGAATGAGCGAACTATGGTATGTCATATTTTCACTATGAGGATTATGTGCCACTAAAATCTATCTTATTCCAGTCTAATATATATTTACCCACATATTCCTTTTATGTTTTCCTTTTTTGTGTTCGTTACATATTAATTCCGTTTACCTATCACTGGGTGAACCTGGAATCTAGCTGAAATGGACAAAATGCCTCCAGTGATTTTAACTATCCAAGAGGCAAATCAAGCAAACAAGAATCCAGCTATATAACCCCTTCCACGAAAGGTCATAAAAAAAACCACTACCTGACAGATGATCTTTTCAATGTTCTTTGACTTTTCTTCCTTTTCCAAAAAGAAGGGGAAAAGCAAAGTTTTCAAGAAAGAACCAAATTTTTTTCTGAGAAAAATGAGTCATACAATGAAATGCTGAAATGTAGCAACAACTTATGTAGGTACTTAAGTTTTCATCTCTGATGATTTATGCAAATTTAAAATTATTTGTACCTAAAATTTTTTATCAACACCATTTTAACAGATCTACTATGTGATTCCTTGTGTGCTTCATTCCCTTATTGAAATATATAAGTTATAAGTTACTTACCTTTACAGGATTTAGGGCACAGCAACAAAATTTTTAGGAAAAAAATAAATAAATAAATAAATAATAATAATCCAAGGTCCAAGGAAGCGCAACACGCAGATGAAGTTTGAACCATCATTTTCTAAAATACCTGATTACCGAACAACAACAGATAGACGCCACTTGCTTTTCTTTAATTTTATACAAATCTATTGTCTCAATTTTGATTTAGAAAATAGTTAAGATCTGTGCTGATAACCATCTCATAATTTATTTAAAAAGAGAGGTTATGCTAGAAATTTCATGATTAAAAAATTAAAAAAACACCAACTTCCTAAAGCTACAAGCTGTGTAACAGTGGCGTGGCGTGCTTTGCGATATATCGATTGATACGCCACTCAAACCTATGAAAAAAAGTCGATTATCAGGGTGTTTGCAGCGAACACCTCAGTAATTGATTCTTTACCATAGCTTCAAATGGCGAGATATCGATAATCGATCCTTCGCGCCACGCCACTGCTGTATAATTTATTCCATTTTAAAAAATGGACTCAAAAAAGCTCATTCGACTGGAAGGGCGTTGACATTGAAAAGAAAAATAAAAAATGAGTAAAAAAAAAATAATATTAAAAAAAAAGAGTGGAAAAATATATAAAAAAAACCTGAGACAATAAAAGCTGTAAAAAAAAGTAAACATTGAGGGGTGCAGTTGCACCAAAGTTCAATTTCTAAGCACCCAATTGCGTTAAACCATGGCGTCAAGAATTTTTAACCAGGCTTATTCCCTGATTTTCCAGAGCTCTTCCCTGATAAGAAACCAAAGTTTTCACCCACTTCCCCGGGGGTTTTCGGGGGGAAAAGAATATAATTCTCCAGAGTGCTATGAAACTACCATCAACTTTAAGTCATCTTTCAGCCGATTCTTCGGCACACATTCAAAATTTTAATTCTGATAGCTCTCCCATTATATATTATCTGATCAATCAAAGCTTTTCCATTCTTTTGATGATATGAAGCTTCAAATGTTTCATTCAAGAGGTCAATAACAGCGCTCGGTCAGATTAGACCGCTAAATTTGAAAACGAAATGATCCGTCAGTGGTAGAGGGAACCCAGTTTCTGGAGCAGATTCCCTGATTTTCCCTGTAAATTTCATTCCCTGATGAGTCCCGGTTTTTCCCATTCTAGACATCATGCTTTAAACTCAAAGTTTTCTTATTTCCCGACATTTAATTCCACTGAACCAAATGAATATTGCTTTTGAAATGGCTTTTCTCGCATTGCACATGACTGCATTTTGTTCTGCCTTTCCAAATTACAATTCATTGCATTACTGGCAAATCTATTGGACGTATTTATGCTAAAAGGAACTAAAAGCATAGGATTTAGGACAACATAGTTCCTTCAGCATAAATACGTCCTATTGTATAATTTATTTGGAGCACATTACATTTCACATACTCTCACAGTTTCAAATTTCAAAATTTGCGAGTCTTCAGTTTTTTCAGTTTTTTATCCACCTTCATTTTCTCTTGGTATTTTTCTTTCCCTGGAAATTATTGAAATCTGAAAGATGATTATTCAAAATTAATAAAATTAATTATGAAAGACGAATTTTTAAGCCAATGTTACCATTTTATGGTATTTTTACAATTAAATGAAGATATTTTTCAGCTCCATTAGTGAAAAGCAAAACGTGATTCCAGTGGTTTCCTCTGTTCTGGGAGGCAAGAAAGACTCATGGTATAGTATTTAGTTGTCGTTCATACCAAAAATTGAATTTGCCTTTACTCGTCAAAGTTATAGCCCATGAAGATACTTTTTCCGCCAAAAATCTCGAAAATACCCTCATTTTAGGTTAGAAAAATAAATACAAAATTGGCAACATTGCCTCATGAAGTTCACGATGGCCTTTAAATGCGTTTGCATACGATCTCAGGATAGTATTTAGCCTGTTTACAAGTCCGTTTAATTATAATGCACTGGACTATTAGTCTTGAATTTCTTGATTTTAGCACATAAAAATGAAAAATTGGCAACAATGTACAGCCTAAACGAGGTGTCACTTCAAGTTGAAACTTTGCCTTACCATAAGCTTTTATTTGAGCCTTGTCCAGTTGACCAACTCAGGTTTCCAAAAAGGGGCTAAAAAACACCCCTTTTGGGCGAGGCTCTTTTAAGCCTTGACCACAGCCCCGTGAAACTTTAGAGAGCTTTTTTTCAAAGCTAAGTTTTTTCAAACAATTCAACTTGGATTAACTACATACAAATGATTTGCGTGTTTAGTTGCTCCTAATATTATTAATTTACACATGGCTCTCTTAAATTTAGATAAATCCAATTTCAGATGAATGGTAAAGAAATAACTTAAGGGCTTCTATAGGTATGAAAAGAAATAGACAGTTTTACAAATTGATGGTGTACTAAGCCTACAAAAATAAATAAAGTGATACATGATCACTTAAATCAACTTCGAGTTACAAAAAAGTTTTTTTCAGCCACTCCTGCTTTGTTGCTTGCCAAGCATGTGTAACGTCCTATCCCAGTCTGGGATAGATTCACGGTATAGAAATAAGTATTGAAATCATTATTTAATTTCTCAAGCAAAATGACAGGTTTTGGTGAGATGGCAGTCCCATTGTGCAACCATGTTACCTCTGGAGTTGGATGACTAGATATACTGCACTTCAATACAGGAGAATCTTGAGAACTAGATGTAATATTTTCTTCTATTGATGAATCTTTAATCACTGGAATTCCTATGATTATACAAACAAAGATATTAAAATGTTTTCATAAAACGATAAAACAATAATTTCAAAAGATTTTTTTTTAAATGAAACAGATAAAAAATTTTATTTGACTTAAAATTTTGAAACATTTAATTTCCACACGAAAAGATGAAATTCGGAATCTAATAAGTGCAATCAAGTGTTGCCTAGATTATGAGACCGTTTCTCTCATAAAACAAAAATTCAGTGGCCCTACAATAACTCTTTCTTTCACAAGAGTAAGAACAAAATTCCTGGTAAAAAGGCTATAAAGCAAAGTTATTCAAATCTTACATACTGTGAGAAATACTGTGAGAGGCACAAGGTTTGGTTGTAATTTTGATTTTCATTTCCGATAAAATGAATTGGAGTTAAATTGAAAGTAGAAAAAAAAAAAAAAAAAAACGGAGAGTGTATTGGTCATTGTATGCTCATCATTTACATCATCAAATAGGTTAAGTTATTGAAATTACACTAATAATTTTTTCCAGAAAAAGAGACGCCATAATTTCAGGCTTCTTACTTTCAAGAGTTAGAGATTTAAAGAAAGTAAAAACGGTGCTGTTTAGAGTACTTACGAATAACTTCCACATGAAAATCTCGGATCTGAGTGCTAAGTTTATTAGTGGCACTGCACTGATAATGTCCTTCATGTCGAGAATGATTTGTCCGTGGAATGACTAGATTCTGCTTGAAAGGTTGCTCAAAGTAAACTCCAGGAAATGTGTACTCGGTGATGGGAGTGGCTTTACTCAAAAACTGCCATTGCACCTGAACAAAAAATTGTATCGTACGATCATCAGATTAATATACTGACACAGAATTTGAGGATCTCATGAATTCATAGTTTTTGAAATTTTACAGCTCATGACAGTGTCCGACCATTTATACTTATCATTTCATACCAGTCTTTTTATGCTTTGTTTCTTTCGATTATGAGGTACAGAGTTTCAAAAACTGCAATTTACATTGGCGTTGATGGGGCCGATACCCAGTCTTCCCTGAATATCTCAATAAGACTAAATGGAGTTGGATATTATTTGACTCAATGACACTGATATAATAGGAATAGCATACTTTCTACCCATTATCTGTTGGATTAACTGTAGCAATGTTTGTGGGCGTGGCGGTAAGATAACAACATGTTACTATCAGAGGTAAAGAAACTAGGTAAGGGCAAAAACAAATTTTTTCTCACCTTGGGCTGAGGGTTCCCTCGGGCTGTACAGCTTAAAACTAACTTCTCTCCTTCAATGACTGTGACATGTGGCTCATAAACTTCCTGCTCAAATGATGGGGCTGCCACAACATTCAGTCTAACTATTGCCGTATCTGATTCTAAATCGTTGTTCTCAACAAGGCAAGTGTAGTCTCCAGAATCTGAGATACGACTCTCCGGGATTCTTACAATTCTCTGGCGGTCCATGAGAGCAAAGTGTGCTTCATCTGCTCTCTCGTTATGAAGATTTACAAGCTCGGTGCCATCCTGACAAGACAGAAATTTTACTTAGTTTTAATGGTGTCTATGATATTTTGTCGAAAAAGGGCCAACAACATGAATGTAATTTTGCCGATTGTAGGATATTGTAGAAATACTTAGTCACTGTGACATTACTTGAGCTTAATGAAAAAGGTGTGTGGCCAATACAAATTTGAAAATTGTTTGTTTGAATCTTCCAATATGTTAAACAAACATTCTACGATTTCTAAAAACTTCTCTTTATGAACTTGCATGAAGCAATTGCCAGATTCCATTTGAAAAAAGAAAAATCTCTATCATACAATCTTCATTGTGATTAAAAAACTTTGAATACAATTAGTAGCAGACCAATAAAAATCACATTATAAAGTTCCTTTCCAGAATACTATGGCCAAATTTTTTGAGAGTGATTTTTGCCAAGTTAGGTTGCAAAATGGACGTGTTTTCGATAGAAAAACTCGAAAGTATCAGGATAAATGAATATCTAATAGTTTAGTTTGTCTTCGTCCTAATAAAGGGCACAGCGTTTCATTTTGATTAACTGATTTGAGTCTGAAACAAAGGAGATTAGAAATCCAAACTGATTTGTATCAAAATCATAACTGTGTTAACTGCCAATTCCAGACAGTTTTAACTTAATTTGGGTTGAACATTTTGACATGTCATTCATGCCAAAATGTTTTTAAAACACTCCTTGGTACAAATGGTAGTACCTACAAAAATCCTAATTTAACTTTTTGGAAACTAAGGTCCCTTTTACTGCGAATGGTTATAAATTTAGTAATGGGAGGAAAAAGTATCTTCAATGTTTGAGTTTGGTCTACTGTGAAATTGATGAATTGGCACAGTTTTTGCGGCATCTCTTTAATGTAACAATATCTGGTTAGCTGAACAGCATTATTAGGATGAGAATTCTCACCTTCAACCATTCTGGAGGAGACAATGAGGGAAGAGGGCATTCTAACAAAGCAACATCGGACTCGACCACTTCCACATTAACAACAGGAACATCGGGTTCTCCAGTAGGCAGATCCGGCACTAGATTGAGGCATTTAAAAATTAAAATTTGGCAGAAAACTTTAAGCGGACGATTGGAATAAAAACGGAAAAATCAAATGATGCGACAAGACAAGAGATATAAACGCGCGTAACAAGTTTTAGAAATTATCATCTTCGATTTTGACATGGCTTGTCCAAAGAAATAGTTCACAAAAACCACCTAGTTAAAGCAAAGCCTACTCAAGACAGAGAACAAATCTTAATGGGAATAATTTCAAATCCATGGATTTACCACAGTTAAGATATGTAGAAAAATTCGATATTCTTGACTTTCAATTGAACTCTATGGTGGTTTTTGGAGTTCAAATAGTTGTCCGTCAAAAATGGCGAATTGATACTCGGCAATGGCGATCTGACAAAGTTGAAGAAACAATTGAAATTTCAATTTAAGCTTACTTCTAAACAGTGATGGATTGACAATTCCTGATGGATACCTGGAAAATTGTCTTTCCCTTGTCCCTGCCTTTCCAAATTTTACCAGCCCCTTGCATTTTCTGTCTCCTTCACTTTTCCTGCTTCTCCCTGACTTCTTATTTTTTCAAATCAAAAGAAACGCAAAAATAAACATGGCACAAAGCGGATTGGCACAGGCTCAAAGTTTTGAGGGAAAATTTGCTGAAAACTACAAGAGAGCTCTGCGAGATGCAAAAAGTCACAATCTTGCAACTCTTCTGACTTTTTCTTTTGTTAGGAATCCTTTATTTACACCAGATATATTCCTTTGAAATACTCTCTTTGATGATGCATGGAAATATTTCATGTTTTTGAAATACACTTCATCCCAAAACAGAATTCTTTTGAGGAGACAAAGAAGAGTCTTCATTAAATGGGATAAATGCCTTATACTGAGACTTAATTCCCTAGCAATTGTATATATTTTTACTTAAATACAGCAATACCTCAATTATCTGATAATTTTAGGAAAACTCTATCAGTTATCAAAAACGCCGAATAATCGAAAATGCATAACAGCTCTAAAACCACAGGAAAAATGTTTAGATGAAATGAAGAAAACAACTAATACAAAGAAAAAACAAGAAAAATAACGTATGAACGTGCCTCATTAGAGCATCAAATAAGTGATAGGCAGCTAATCAAGGTGTTGCTGTATTGAGATTCAACTTCTTCTGCTATCATTTTTGGCTGGAAGATAGCTGTCTTGGTAGAATAAGCAAAATAACCATTATTTATGATGCAATTAATTTTAATGCTTACCGTTTACAGTGAGAGTGTATTCTCTTGTTGCAGATCCTGCTTTATTTTCAGCAATGCACTCATATGTTCCTCCCATTTTTGGGGTAACACTTCTCAAAATCACGCTATTGTCAGCTAGGATAAATATTTCCTCTGAAAAGGTACATTGATCAATTTGAAACACCTGAGTTCTGTTCATAATCACTAGTTAAAAATACCTAAAAAATGAGCTGAAGTAATTATTGAGCCAATCTGTGGATGAGGAAATTCTCATAATCACTGTTTCATGAGACTCTTTTAGAATCTAAGATAATGACGATAAGAAGAAGTGCAAAAAGCGACGCATCAGAGGGATATCGCATGTAAGGGATTAAGTGGCATACCTTAACATGTGCCCTGCTATGCTGGTTGTATTGACCAGCATTGAAGAGTTTGGCAAGCGCCAGGATGATCATTTTGTCACTTGCGTTGCTAGGCTGCTGTGAGGTCAGCGATCATTGGAGCTGCGTATATGCTAATGGCTCAGACCTAGCCTGACCTCAGCAGGAGAATGTACCATTGAACCATAGAGTACATAGAAACGAAGTGTGAATGGGAGAGCTGGGACCATGTCCTGGACAACGAGTTCTGGGCCTGGTGTGTGCCGCGGTTCGGTCACTTTTTTGATACATTTTCGATTCAAAATGGCGATGTAGCATACAGGTGATTCCCATCCTCTTTCTTTACATTGGATGGCCAGGCCCTCATATATCGCAAACAGTTGATTATGTGTCAAAAAAGTGACCTGGCGTGACACAGGAGTCCCAGAATTCAGGACCTGGAAAATGCTTAAAAGTGGTTCCACCTCTCCCACTCACATTACAACTCTATGTACTCTATGCATTGAATTTCTGTTTTTTTGTTTGTTCTAAGGAGGGGGAAAGCTATGGTGCTGCAAAAATATGTACCCAAACATTATGGCAGACAACATGTTAGAGAATTTTGTAATTCTGACTAAAACTAGTTTCAGCGAATGCTGATCAAATATATTGAGAGGTAGAACTGATTTTGAGGCCTCATAATTCTTTGAAAGTCATTTGTATCATAAGTATCCGTATAATTTTTCGATCTTCAGCACCTCTTTCTTTAAAACACAAGAATATAAATCAACTCCTTCATTTGTACTACTTTTCGCTTATGGGCAAAAACTGTTTTTCAACCAGCCGAAGGTAAAATGTAAAATTTTCAGAGACAACTTGAAATAAACAATTGACGTTCTAAGGTTTCTAGTTGCTTTTTGTTATTCTTTGAGTAATTATCAACCGCTTCTTGGGATCACCTAGTTTGTTTTTAACTCTTTATTTACTAAAAATAAGATTACCATCATGATATCCAGCAGAAAATGTTTTGTTAAATCTTTTCCATTTGATGTCTGGATTGGGCGTTCCACTCGCAGTGCATGGTATCTTGTAATCTTCACCTTCTTGTAGTGTGATCATGTTTTCTTGAGTGTCCAAAATGGTAGGAATAGCTGATAAAGCAAACAAAAATTAGATCATGATTTTATGAGACAGAGAGGCTCACAAGGCACTAATTAAAATTGAAAGATGATTTGCAGTACGTATCAAAAAGTGTTTAGAGAGGGGAAAAAAGCCTGTTTTGCTTTGATCTCTTTTGGAGAACAAGGATTTATCTGCCAAAAATCTTACTCTATAGGTAATATAAAATCATTAGAGTAACAGGTAAGCGTCTCGGGCATTATGTGTCACTATGTTACAAGTTCGTTATACATTATGTATCACTACTGAGTTAGTAGCCCCCTAGTTTAAGGATAACTACATATATGAATTATAAATTGCATGCCTAGTTACAAAATTCTATGTACTTTTACGAGAAGATCTGAGATATTTTGAAGTTAAATGAGAACACATCTGCTGCCTCAAGGGTTATAAAAAGAGCCAATGTAACTGGCTTAACTGACCCATTGTTTAGAAAAGCGTAGAATTCTTCATAAGAATGAAGGTGAAGATCTCCCCACCGATAACTAAAGAGCAGACTCCTTTACTCCTCACAGAACATGGCTTCATTCTGCCTTGGAATTGGGGATGTAAAGTCGCTTATTATACCTGAGACATCCAAAGCTACAGCTCTGCTTGCTGAACCAGCTGGATTAGTTACTGTGCACACGTAAGTGCCCTTGTCCTCTATTTGAGCCTGTAGCAAACTCAATTCATCATCGAGTATTATACTGGAACAGCCAAAGAGTAAATTAAAATGAGGTTGTAAGGATTTAAACACTTTTTCTTAATCTTATTGTATTTCTTGAACTTTTGTATTGATAATAATAATAAAATGACAGTGGTTTTCCAGTACTTCTCAACACAAAAACAAGAAGAGATCAAAATACCAAGGAAGGACTCAAAAAGAGTACGACATTCCATTGGTTCACTTTTTTGAACTGCAAAATACAAAAGAATATAAGAGCTTCTATTATTTGAAGACCTACATTTCATTGCTCGTCGACAATAAATTGATGAGAAAAAGTGGTGAACTTAATTTTAGAATTTACACTCTTTCCATTAAATGCCTCTGAAAATCATTTCTTTCTGACACAAGAGTTCACAAAATCTAAATGATCACCAGTTTGTAGTTCCAAATACATAATTTCTATAAAAAGAAATCAAGCTAAATCTTGTGCAAAATTAAAGGAATGGAACAGTTGAAAACCTCAACAAAATGGACATGATTCTTAATTCTTATATTTTTCATGAAACTTTATAAAGAGTCTTTTTTCCTACCGATAAAGAAGGTTTTATTTTAAGAGCTTCTGCACCCTTTGATGTACAATTAGTACATATTTTACAATTTATTGGAGAGATATTTAGTTGTAGAAGTAGACGGTTCCTTGTTTCCAAAGAGCGTATCAAGAGCGTATCTCCGGTCCAAATTTGCAAAATCTACTTACGCACTTCTTTTCTTCACACGAAAATGACAGCGCAATATCCGTCCCAAATTTTGCTGATTTCTGACACTAATCTATCAAAAAATCATGACATTTTCGATAAAAAATGTCCCATAGTTTCTGAGTAGAGAGAAAAATTGTGAAAGGAAATTTGACAATGTTGCAATGTAACTACATTCCTTTGCCTAGTGAATGATAAACTTTTCATTCAGGAGTACTTACAGTCTATTATCAGTGGTTAGAATATGTCCGTCTTTCTGCCAAGTAACAGTCCCTTTAGGCTCCGAAGTAACTCTACAGGGAAGCGTTACATTTTCTCCAATTAATACATGAAACCAAGACTGTAAATTTTCTTCAAATTTTGGTGGCTCTGAAAAATTATGCAAATTTTAGGAGTTAGAACAATAGATTTTGAAAACATTTTACATGATGAGTAAAGTAGGATGCAGGTATTATGCAGCATTATTAAAGATAAAAAATAGGGTATTTCTTGAAAATTGAAACAGAGAATTTTTTGAGCAACCATTTTATTCTGCCTATCAGATTGAAGCAAAATTCTTTTTTGAGAAAGGATAATACACATGTAAATATTTCTTCACAGGAGAAATGAAATGCAAATGACGATTACCGTAAGTTTGAAGTGTGAAAACTTTTTTGATAGAGCCGAGAGGATTGCTGGCCACACATACGTATGTTCCGCCATCAAACTTCCCTATTTGAGAAATGGTTAGACTACCATTATCCTGAAATTGGAAAGAGAAAATGCGTTTAGTATGAAACGTTGCATTGAAAAGTTGTGTTAAAAATTGAAAGTTGTTGCACTTGCAGTGAACCTAAATGTACCCTTTCGTTCAGCATTTCATCGCCACATTGATAAAAACATTATTTCACAAAAGAGCATTCATATACTTGAAGTTAAAATGTTCTATTATCAATCAAGTATTATCATGTAAGGAATCTGATGTTGAACTCATTGAATAAATTAAAGCTGAAATTTTTGAATTTAAGTATTGCAAGTTGAAAAGAGACGGACTAGAGGAATTGCAATACTTGGGTAGGAGGTACTATTAACATTCCTCACGATTATTTCATGAAATTTTTTTTCGCTGATTCCTTACACACGGCAAAATGTTTCGTTTTGAATATTCTGTTTTCTTCACTGATTTTTCAGTTGATCTTCACAGAAGTTTTTCTTCACTGATTTTTCATTCACAAAACATTTAACAGTCAAAATAAATACTTTTCAGCACTTCTTCATAGAATTTTTCTGTTTGTTTTTGTTTTTTTTTTTCTGTTTCTTTTTCTTTTTTAATCCCATTCTCTCCACAAACCTCTCTTTGCATCTCCTTAGAGACACTCTGAATCTTTTGCCTATCCTATTTATAAAGAGCTGATGAAAAATGTGAGATTACTCTACATGTTGTTGAAAGCGTGAGTGCCCAATATTGACCGGAAGCTGGTTATGGTACCACAGAACTGATGGTTTTGGTTTCCCGCCAGTAAGAGAGCACGACAGGTAAGCCTTCTCTCCAGGTGCAATTTGCAAGATATTTTCATTTTTACTTGTCTCTTCAAACTTTGGAGCTTCTGGGGGAAGAAATAGGAGAGGAGGGTGAATATTGACTGTGAGAGGCATAATGTGCATCATGATGAAAAATAAGTTGTGAGAGGCAGTAAATTCAAACAGTACTTAATTAGAAAGAGTTCAGGCATATTTTTACTTTTTTTTATTTTCAACCTCAGAAAAATAGTTTAGGATTATTTTCAAGCGTTAAAAGTTTCTGATTTTTGCATTGTTAAATTGTAATTCTAAGTGCAGGAGAGTCAAATAAAATGTTAAGTTATTGGGTTAAGACCACTATTAACTTCCAATAAATCTTGTTTCAATAAAAGTACATATGAGATGGCTCAAGTATTTTGGCATTCGAGGTTTCTGCATTGTTCCTGACACATAAACCAAAAATTCATCTGTGCCCCATTCTGAATTCATTTTTTTTTTTATTTTTCCCCCCTGAATTAGACACCTGTTCTGGAATTGACAAGTTCTCCATTCCAAAAAGCTACCAAAATTACACTTTTGTGGGTTAAATATTTGGAAAAGAGGCCATGATATGTATTCTGATAATCATGAGAAAACACACACAGAAAGACATTCACAGAGAAAAGACAAATTGTTAATATTATATAATACTCATACCAGTTCCGGTGATTTTAAGAAGAAACTCAAGTGTTGTTTTGCCAAATATATTCTCTGCTTCACATGTATAAAGGCCTTCATCCTCTAAAGATGTTTCTGAAAAGGAAAATAATAAAGGAGACCCACATAGCACAGAATCTTATGTCAATACTGATACATATTGTTGGATGTTGACATGATATCATCAACACTAATGCAGTATGATATTAAGATTGTCGGTTAAAAGGTATACCGCGTCAGCATGAATATAACACTGATACCTGCTTCAATATATCAAACAACAGTATTGAGTCAATGCTGACGAGGTAAAAAAAAAATAACACGAAAAGAAATTAACACGAAAAAATGAAAAAAAAATATAGGAAGAAAAAGAAGCCTAAGAAAACACGGTGTTAATCAGAGTTATGATGAAAGTCGAGCCGCGCACTGATGCTATGCATGCTATACATAACAGCCTTAACAGGCGTGATTTTAACCCGGAGCACCATCAGCTCCTTGTGGCTCAATGGCAGAATACCGGGCTAGGAATTCCGCGGTTCGGGTTCAAATCCACCCGAGGGCGTCCGGGTATTTTACGCTACTAAACGTCGCAGGACATCAAGTAAGTGGTTTATAATATTCAATACTTGTATACTTGTGTAATTCATGTTTCAAATGTAATACATGTGTAGTACTATGAAAATGACGGTCATCGTCTGAACTTTCATATCTACTTGACAGAGTGCGCTGAGTGTACAGACGTGTCAGTGTTAAGGTAGTAACGCATACGTATTGTCGGTGTCCTGCAGTGTTCTGATGACCTTGTCATAACCCTGATTTCCATATGAAATCAACCTTTTCGGCCAATACTGTAACAATATTTTGACAGCTCCAAATCAGTAACTAATAAATACTGGCATAGTCTTGATATAATATTAAATCAGGATACATCAGCATTTTATAAATACTGAAACTACTGACGTGTCAGTACTATTGCAGTATTATATCAATATTCTGTGCTATGTGGGGATAAATATTTCCTGAAAATTATTCCCAAAAATTCTGGCCAGTATAATTTTGACACCATAACATCTAACAACATGTCAATATAGCTTTCCTTGCAGGACAAAAATGTTCAACAAAAAAGAGTTGTGACGAACGTGGAACAAAAAGGATGTTTCTCAAAAATCAGGGAGAATTTTGACAGGCTGTTCCTTAAAATGTACGAGTAGCGGTAATTTTCGCATCACTTTAAATTTTTAGTAATTCTTCAGATAGTTGGGTCAAACAAATTTGGTAGTATTCTCAGAGGATCTTCAAGAACTTTGAGGAAAAAATATATTGCATCTCTTAACATTCGGAGCTGCTGGGAGAGAAAGTGATGTTCTTTAATGAAATAGATTAGACAATTTCTTACACAAAATTTGCTGCAGTAAAGTATTCTAGGAGGGAATTAAAAAAACCTCTACAGAAGCAGCGTTGAACATTTAATTTACAGCAGTATTTCGTCATGTATAAATAATTTTGGTTCAAAATGAGGAAAACAGTGTTTAGAACCATTTTTTGCATTATTCTGATGACCTGTTCAATATCAGAGAGTATGGAAGGTTAGAGGCCTGACTCAATGCTAAGTAATTGAAACAGAAGCGCTTGCTGGCAACGTACGCAACTACTATTTTCTACTGTTTTCCAGTGACTGGCGGCGGGTATATTGCTGCTGGACCACCTTCATGTAGGCAATTTCTCATACATCGTCTGTCTGCAACTCTCGCTTGGCCAATCAGTGCAGTAGTATGGGAATCCCGCTCGCCACGCACTCTCGCGCCAACGTACAGAACTTCTTGCTGACGGCTCAACCTTTGTTTCAATTTTTGCCTATCCAGTCGGGCTTCTAACCTTTCATACTCTCTGTTTAATATTGAAATGAAATATTTTCACATCTATGAAAAGATACTTGGATTCAATGACAAGTTCCTTACTTACAATCTGAAGCTCAATATTTTTAGACTGGAAGTTTTTTTTACTATAAACTTACCAATGATTTTGAGGACCACTGAATCGTTGGAGATTTGAAACCGTTTTGATTCCAAGAAAGACATGTTTCCATCGCGATTCCAAATGATGGAGGGAACTGGGAGACCATTGACAGCGCAGTGAAATTCAACATCATCACCCAAATTGACAGCGGAAATTGTATTATCAATGTGATTTTCAATTGTATTTGGTGGAACCCCAACTTCGAGGATAGTAGAGTCTGAATGTGAACTCTCACTGTTTTGACCTCGACATGTGTACTGACCAGAATCAGACAACTTTACGGACAGTATGCTCAGGTCGTCTTTAATGCGGATCTAGATGTAAAAAGCAACAAAGCAGAATCAATTTATCATTAATAACTGTCACAGCAGTAATTCATCCCAGGGTTTGGTAAACATCTTTGCATTCTACCCAGTGCATTGATTTAATAAGAAATTTGGACAAACTCAGGGTTTCAGGCAAAAACAAAGATAAAAGCTCCTGTCTAGGTATCTCATAGAGATAAAACATTGTGAAATCTTGAGAAACAAAAGGAAGTTTAAGGTATGGAAAAAGAAATGATTTGGCTGAATCATAAATTGTGTGCAAAGTTTTGTTGTCTAACACTTCTGTAGCTGAATTATCCTTGGTTCTTCATTTATAACAATATTTTTCAACTGGTGACTCACAGAAAATACAAATATTTGAGATTATTACTTACAATATTGGAATTTATTTCAATCAACTGCCCATCTTTCAACCACGATACCGCAGGTTGGGGAAGTCCTGAAACTTGACACTTGAAACGCACAAAGTCTCCTTCTTTGACAAACTGATAGCTCTTCTCAACCTGAACTACAGGGGCTTCAACATACTCAACAAAAGCTTGACTGGTAACTAGAAAAACAAGATAAAAAGTGTGAGCTTGAGAGGATTATACAATTTTCACAAGTAGAAAATTGGACGACTGATTGTCAGAGTGGGTTAATTGCATACACCATTAAGTTATGTAATAGTAGAAACACCAAAGTTGCTATGTGCAGTAGTAGCGGAGATATAATCTCATCAGAAAAGTGAAGCATGACAGTATGCATAATGGTTTTCAGAGGATGATACCTCCTTCAGTATTAAATTCAAAAATTTAGTGCTGAGGCAGATCTAATGGACCACTAGACAAGATACGAATTAAAGGATTCTGATACATGTTTCTTCACCAAAATTTCACGCAGAACACGATTCGCGCAACGAAAATGACTGAAACCAACTCCTAACGAAGATATTAACGTTTTTATTTCACATTGGTCACAAGGAATTTGAACTGCCCGCTCACAAGAAACTCAAAGCTCTACGTGAGTCACATCGCGCACTACAACCGTTTCAGCAATCTTCTTAATCGAGCAATGTTCATTTCCCACCATGTGTTGTTCGAACTATAAGCAATTTGCTATAGCTGAGCCAAAGCGTCAAGATTGAGGTTGCCAGATTTTTATATCGTAGAGACTGTCATGATAACGTATAGCGCACGATGTGAATCACGCAGAGCATTGAGTTTTCATGAGCGAGAGGTTTGAATTTACGCATCAATAATAATTAAATATCTTTGAGAGGAGTTGATTTCGGTAATTTTCATTGTGCGCGTCGTATTCTACGTGAAATTTTGGTTAAGAAGCATGTATCAGAATGCTGAAATTTGTACCTTGTCTAGTGGTCCATTATTTATTTTAATAAAATAAGTCTCTGTCACTGAAATACAATGCTGTCACATGCATGACTGAGCATTCTATGACCAAATTTTTTCAATTTTAGGGTGTGAAAATAGGCTGAAGCTTACAATTCATAAGGATACTGTGTTACGATGTTCCCCCGGTCACCTATCTTCAAAGTCCTAATCTCTAAATAGGCACCTGCAAGTCCGTATCACTCCACCATGTTTATGAACTTCTCAAGATAGAGGAAGCATTTCCCCACATACTTTTGGTCCCTACGCTATCTGCTTGAATACAGGGAGAGCCCGCACAATGCAAAAATATCCGTACGCCTGTGTTATAATGAAACATAAAGGGCCTGCTCATTTCATACCTTTGCATCAAGCATGTGGCTTTGGTTGCATAGAAGTACTTTAATCAAGCATTTTCAATCTCATTTTAACTATGGTTCGTAGGGTCAAAGTATTTACACTGACATTTCTAACTTGTTGAAACATTTCTCCTAATACAGATTATATGATGGGATGGTATTCCTTCAATGGACAACCAACAAATTTTATGTTTTGTGCATAAAAATAAGAAAGATAAGAAGAATAAAACATACTAATGTTAACATCATTTACAGCATGGCATGTGTAAAAACCAGCGTCTGAAAAATGAACATTGCTAACGCTTAAAGTTGAGGAAGTTTCTGTCTTCTTGAGTTGATATTTGCCTTGTAAGCCCTAGAAAAAATAAGCGATTTGTAATGAATATTTTGAAGGACAAAATGTAAAAAATCAACGAAAGCTTTCTTTTCCCTTAATCTGTGTCATTTCCTGTTGCGTACCTATGTTTGAGGCTTCTTACTTTGATTTTTCATAAAGAACATAATAGGGAACACAAAAAAAAAACCTGAAAAAAGAAAGCTATGAATTCGAATTTGAAACACTAATAAACAAAAAGATGTTCGCCGAAACGAATGTCCGTAAATTTTTAAAGTCGACCTTTTCCAGAAAGCCTCAAAGATGTGTTCTTCACACTGACAGGAGAATGTAAAGTACACTGCAGTCAATATTATTTTGGTAATTTGTTCTTACAGCATCAATAACAAATATTCTTTCATACAAAGCAATAGATTTGCACATATGGTCATTAAAAAAATATTGTTAGAAAACATAACAAGAATTATACAATTCATCACTAGCTCTCTAATGCCCTTGATTTTCATTTTTTGATCATACTCATCCATACTAGAGATTCACCTGACCGATTTTCATACTTTTTTGGCTTCAAACAGGTAATATATATTTTTTAAATGAATCTGCTGCCTTCAAATTCTTGAATTATATTCCAAGTTCTTTTAGGTCTGAAGTAACCCACTTAGGGCGCAGAGCATCTGTTGTGGATTGCGACCAGTGAGGAAAGGGGGCCCTATATACACACTATTTAAAAAAGTATAACAACTGAAAACTTACATCACTTAAGGGTAAGTCATCTTTCCTCCAAAGGAGTTTTGGTTTGGGAGTTCCTCTCAAGACAGTACATGTCAAGATAACAGATCCATTTTTGGTAACTTTCATTGATGAGGGCTCAATGCTAATTTTTGGCTCTTCTTTGACAGACAAGTATAATTTTCCCATTCCAGAGCCCGCTGCTCTTTAACAAAAAAAGCATTCTTTATCAAATCAGACAGAAATATTATAAAGGCACTGTTTTGAAGGACATTTAAAATTTTTTTGAGCCATTTCATTGAAGATGGATCATAATGAATTTGTTCAGTGCTTTTTAACATTGCATTTTTAAAAAAGTAGACAGTGTATTTGGTGCACTGGAATGTTTCTTATTTCACTAATTCACGAAAAACAACTCCGAAGATGCATATTTTGGGCTCCCTTTCAAACGCGCATTGCCCAGAAAGCTAAGATGGTGTCCAGAAATCTCCCTAATGCTGAAATCACTTATTTCTGACAATGTAGCCTCAATATAATTACTTACAATATGAAATCATTGCCAATCCCAATAGGGTTTCTTTCTTCCAATTGGTGCCAGCATGCTACAAAAAGATTCAAGAGACACAAGAAAAAGAGAAGTATTGTATTATTTGTTTACTGATAAAGTTGGCATTTCAATACTTGTGCGTAATGTGAGGGAACATAAATTTTTCATAAAGCAAAAATTGATAGAGGCTTGTCAAGTACCTTTTTTCCTCTTTCCTTAAATTCATGAAAGTGGTGTTAAAGTCATCAAAATTTTTTCAGTGGTTAAATTGGACCAAAATTATTTTTGAAGCATATGAAAAAAACTACGATAGCCGATAGTAAGATGAAATGTGAAATTCATTCCATCTGAATGGTTAAATTGGTTAATGGTCTAACGCAGAATTCAGGCAAGAATCTATCATTTTCAAATTTGCCTACTCTTTATAGGCTGGAATTCATGCTCATTTTCTCTGGAGATGGTAACGGGCCATTGATATTTTTGCCTCTAATTGAGACTTGAAGGAATAAGATCAATAACATTTCCTCACAAATTTCGCCGTTTTTCTTACCTTAAAAAGGGAATTTCGGGACTTTATTCTTCTTTTAAATCACACACTTACCGCTATTTTGAGCAATACACTGATACCATCCAGCATCACTTTCAAGCGTTGGATTTATGATCAGCTGATTTTGACTCCCAAGTGAAAATCTACTGTCAGGTTTCAATTCTTTCCAATGTCGCGTTTCTCCTGGAGAATAAAAATAAAAATCATTTTGAGGAGACTTGATACAGACTTACTTAAAAATCGACAATTAAAAATTGACCTTTAACCTCAATAAGTTAATTGAAATTTTTCATTGATGCTCCATAATTATTTATATGTAGATAAATCAAAAGCTCCTTATTCTATTTTTTTTAAAATGTAGAATCTCTTCTTTCATGTCGTCGTTTCCCAGGCGGAAGAACGTGACTTTATTTCAATTTTGCAACATTGCCACCCCAAAAATATGTTTGACATGGGAACTACTGGGCATTTCTGATTGAAAATTTTAATGATTTGTCTTAGGACTGTATACGAAACAGATCAGCAAAATTTGGGACAACCTAGGAAGCCTAGGAATGGAAAACCTGGGGTTCCTTCATCAGGGAAAGGACGAAATGAACTTTCTATGTAAATATACTTGCTAAAAGGCAATTATTGTTTTTATATAAAATAAAGCTTTCGAGAACCAATAAAATAATTTGACAGTAAAACTAAGTGCTTATTCTACTTTGTTTGGAGATCTTAAAGTAGATTTCATGAATAGTTTTTGATATTTTGGGTTGAGATGACAAAAATTCTCTGCCACAGTTTCTTTTGAAGCAAATTCTGAGAAAATAATTTGTCTTACCTGTTATTCCTTGAAACCAAGTTACATTGTAAGTCATGGAAGATTCAACTTTACACTCTAAAATAGAAGGCTGATCTGGGGTACCAATTACATGATCTGTGGTTCTAATAAAAGGAGGGTTTCCTAGAAAAAATTTTTTAAACGGATTACTTAAAACAGATTTGTCTTTTATCAGTTCTAATCTATAGAAGTTTGTACCTACTTCAATATCAAATTTTCAGAAAATATTCTTGAGAGAACAAAAAAGACTTTAATTCACAAAATTCTGTGCACAAATGATGATTAATTTACCTTTCAAACTGTAAAATCGGACTGAATCTCTGCCACAAAGCAAACTGAGATAAGGGGTCTAGTGCTAGAGGCTCAATTGCAAGGTTTGAAAATCTTTGAGTATGTTTTAATTTTTCAATGAAAACTGATTCCAATGTTTCCATGCAATTTCGTGTGATTTCATTAAAATGAGAGGAGGAAACTCGTAGAAAATTTCAACGGAGACAATTGGTTCATTTTCCTTTAAAAAAATGAAACACACTCGGAGATTCACAACAGGGCAATCTGAAAAATGTATGTTTTTACTCCAATCATCAGCATTCTCTCAAGACACTTTAGAATTTAATTTAAAACTATGTGTAGACTCACTTGCATGCAAGGATATGATAAAACCAAAGTTGAGCCACTGATGATGGAAAATACAGTCCAAAATCCATCTGCCCCCACCGTACCTCAGCGTGCAGGTGAGTTACACAGTTTTAAATTGAATTCTCTCCTTGGTCCTGGTTAGTGCAGTCCAAACTGATGCAATTTCAAAGAATCAGGAGTGGAAACTACATATCAATTACGGAATTTAGGGGATAGAACTTTCATTAATGAAGCATATAAATTCATACCTGTTACGAAGAGATGAATCCTCTCCATTGCATAGCCAGCTGCATTTTTGGCTTGACATGCGTAAGTGCCTTCATCCTCACTTTTGAGATCGCTCACCTTCCATTCAGCTACTGCAGTCTGTCTGAGAAGTAAAATATTGAGAATCATCAACATTAATTTTGAAAAAAAGGACCATGGTTAGAAAATGTATGTGAGAATTAAAGCAAACTGAAAAATGACCTTTTAGCATATCCTACTGGGCTTATGCAGGTGCAATTGTTCCATCAACCAGATGAGTGGGTAAGTCTCCTGAGCTGCTCCTGAGGCAGAATAAAACTCTTTGTTAACCAGGAGTGCAAGTAATTCATCTCTGCTATAAGTACCTTTGTTCAAGCTAAGTACTTCAAGTAACAACATTTGATAACTCACATAACACACGACATTTTATTTGATTTCTAATGCATAAATTTCCACTCTTGCTTACTATTTTGCACTCCTGTTCTGTACCTACTTTCCGCAGTATTATATCGGTATGTTCAGTTTTCAACAAACAAAGCCTCTCAATTTTCTGAGAACTAATCAGCACTCATAGGAATGATGACTACCTGGGTCCTTAAATCCCACAAGTAATTTCAAATTCTGGACGCAAGTATCAGTGATCCGAGGAGAGTTAATGATTTTGTGTCCTAAGAGTGCTGAGAAGTTTAAACTTAATTCAATAAGACAACCAGTGCTGCAGAAACTGGAAACTTACGGATACTGTATATTTCGTCCTACAGCCTTATTGTCCTTGAACCAACGTACAGAAAATGGGACTAGAGACTCAACATAACACTGGAGAGAGATGTCTTGATGAATCAGGCCGGTGTAATTTGTGGTCGGCTGAATTTCTGGAATTGCTAGAATATAAACACAAGTACACATGAATTAGGGTAGAAATAGGTAGACGCATTTATTGGATCAAAGAATGGAGGGGTATAAAATTGACCTGCGCTCACAGGAAAAAAATCACTCAATGATTTTTTATTAATTCGCATAATTTTTATGATTAAATGAAACAATTGCCATGAATATTCTTATGACTTGGACCAAGTTTCTTATAGGGTTGAAGGCGCCCAGTCACAATATGGGAGATTGTTAAAAGTGAGATCATGATCATATGTTTTTCAAAAAGAGATCAGACTAAAGATCCAAGAAGCCCAAAAATTCCTGAGACAGAAAAATAACCTACATCATTTCATCATGCCTCTTGTATGATGTTTGGGTGTTGTCATCATGTACAACACCCAAATAATATCATAATTTTCTAAGAAACTTGTGACTTTAACACTGTTATGAGCTGACCTTCCTATTTTTGATAGCAAGCATCATGTTCGTGTGCAATCATGGCATCCAGGCTATCATGGTAGCAAGATCGAAGTTTCTGCCCCTCTCCTGCCACGTTGAACCTTCTCTTGGTTTTGGTAAAATTTGTTCTCCAATAAAATAAATTCAGTATGCATTGCATACAAAGGTATTGCATACAAAAGGTATTCAAAATATGAATATTCTACCTGGTAATTGGGGACTTATAGCAGTTGGTGTTATTCTTTTCAGTGGTGTACCATCTTTGCTGAAACCATTGATCTGAAAATGAATAAAACTAATGTGAAGAAAAGCGATCTTAAAAGTTGACACATAAACCAATATTTCAATTTGTAATTGCAATTTAATTTACCGATCTTACTTACAATACACTATAAATGCCTATATCTTGTTCAAGAGTGAATTTTGGACTTTTTAAACAAACTAGACATATTCTGAGTAAAATTTAGACAAAAAGATATGTAGTGCTTTACTCCTAGGTAAGTCTAATGGTCACTTCAAAGACAACAGGACTCAACTATAAAATAATATTTCAGTCGATAGTGTCATTGATTCTGGAATAGAATCCAAAAATTTTTTTGAGCCAAATCAGGATTTCATGCTTTGAGTTCGATATTTTTGCTATCGTTTTAAATAATCTTTTAAACTTAGAATGGTCATTTTGTCTCCCGCCTAGAAACCAACATGCTATAATTGGACCCTGAGTAACTAGAATCACCATGCATCGCCTTAAATAATAGACTTTGATCTTATTTCTTGAAGATATGGAAAGAACATTACTTTAACCAAAAATGGACTAAAACCTTCACCCCAATGTTTAAAAATATGTAATTAAATTTTCTTTTCCTCAAGGAAAGCTAATGAAAATGCTCCCTTGTAATTTTGTGTCATTTTTGGAATGAGTGAGGAGAATTCAGAGAAATTCTAATGGAGACTGTTTGTTAGTTTTCCTTTTTTTTTTTAAAAAAAAAAAAAAAAAAAAAAAAAAGCACAATGACGGTGTAAGTCGGCAATCACATAACTCGTTTGCGGTGTTTGAAAATCTCCGCCTCCATGTTATTTTTTTAAAGGAGAACAAATTGACATCATTCCTTGAAGTTTTTGTAGAATTTTCTTGGCACAGAGAAGAAAAATCATGGCAGCTTTAAAGAATTGTTGTCGAGTAGTTTTCCGTTGAAAAAATAAAGTATGTCAGAAAGTCTGCGACGTAGCAAAGCGAGTTATGTGATTGCCGACTTACACCGTCAATAAGCAGATACTTGCAATGTTGCAAACAGAAAAATGCAGTTTTCGACACCAGTTACTGATATGATACTTACACTGACATAAAAGTAGTCCCCATTGGGAGTAAAAGGCTCACTGCTGTACACACCTTTCTTTGGTGTCAAGGGCTCAAGGGTTACATTTTGTAAAATTTCACCTTTGACATTCAAGAAACACACCATTGTCAAATTTTGAATATTCTTCGGCTCAGTTTGAATCAGAATTGAATTTTCAGCACCTGAAAAGAGGGATAATAAAAAACGGTCATCTCATGAATAGCAATTTCCAGAGAAACAAAAAAGAAGACTTAATAATTGAAAAGACAAAGCATAACTCATGTGCAACTTGAAAACAACATGATTAAGTACTTATGACACTCAGTAGTGATTTCATTGATTTCGACCGTTCACTATTTCACCATTTCGATGGTGGAATGATGAGCATTTTACAAGGTTTGAATGGTGCAGCATCAAAAAATATGTTATCTAATTAAAAATGGTTCTAATATTCATTCATTTTACCACAGATTGAATGCTTCCTTTTTTTCTATTCAATGCTTTTCTTTACAGATATGCACAAATGAAATTTTAGAAATTCGTCAAAACGCGTACTTAGATTTGACAGCGTCCAATGGTACGACTGCAACGCCATATTAAAAACTTGTTTACTTTCTGTTCTGAGAATGGGTCTTGTCAATTTCATATCATTTTTTTGTGTACTCAGTTATATATTGTTTGTTATTTTGAGTTTTATTCATTATTTAAATTCATCTGATGGCTTAATAAAGCTACCAGATCTGCCAGAATCTCTTCGAAGGTCATTTTGAGCTGCGCAGCAAAGACGGTACGACTTGCGACATCACCCGATGGCCTGTATTCTCAGCGCTGCCACTTGAACCATACCCTGTTTGTCTACTGTGGTAGAGTGTACCTTGACTCTTAAGTTACTTGGTTTGGGCAGTAACGATTGGCAGTCAGGGAAGTCGTGGGCTTTGAAGGAGTGAATTTTAAGATACAGCAATATTTTGGGATTGAAAAAAACCATATATACAGCAAAAAGAAGCAGCTATGAATAATTGAACGCACTACTCACAGCAGAATGCCTATTAGATCAAGAGGCATATACTTGGTCCATTAGAAGGATCATCTTCGCTGACAACTCTGCGAACTAATAACAAATTATAGGTATTCGTGCGCTCCTTATTTTTCATCCAAAACCTCTTGAGTAGGGAAGATGATAAGGGAGGCTCACAGACAAACTTCCAGTAAGTGTGAATGGCACAAACTGCGCAAGAGAGTTTAAAACCATACTAGTGACTTTCAAAGGAACCATTTCACCTCTTTGGTGGCAACCAACAGGACACCTTGGCGAATTCTAATGAGAAATAACTGTGTAGATAGTTGTTCCATACTCATACGCAGAAAAATCTTGAGAAAAAGAACAGCTACTTGAAAGGAAATAGAAATAACACTTGCACACATGCTACCAAGCACGATTGTAAACAAATGGATTGGAACCGGAAGTGAAGTTAGGTTATGCGATGACGCAATCTATTCCGTCACCGGAAAGGGCATAAAAGCGGGAGAATCGAACTTGCGGTCACTGACTCCCATTCATGTTTTCGACCTGGTGCCGGTGCACCATCTCCTGTTTTTGCCTATCCGTTGGAATGAAGGCGAACCGCGTTTTCATGCCTTGGAATCACGTTCTGTGCTCTGCTCTGTGGCACCGAGCTATCTTCGCCTTCAATTCGACGGTTAGGCAGAAACAACTCCTTCGCAATTGCAATTTTCGTAATTTGACAGCATCAGACTTGCAATTAGCTCATTTAAACACACGTAAAATCATGAATGTAAATCTCGACTATAAACCTTGCGAATGACTTTTGCACCATGGTGAGGGAATATTCGCAATGTTGTGAACAGGTACCTTTCAGGGGTCGATGACTGGTTTCGATGAGGGTTTTGGCAGGCCTCACGGAGAAACCATAAGAGAAATCAATGTTGCTGAGGCCTGTAGAGCGGATGGTGTACTGCGCATCACTTTTGACGTTCACCCTCCATATTCCTGGATCCGGTTGCTACGAGAGAAAAAAAATACCTTATATTAATAGAAGATTCTATCTGAAGACAAAACATAATTTTTCTGCGTAAAATCGTTCCACAAGAAAACGGAATTTAGCCCACATTGGCAAATTAAGCAAGAAAATACGAGAAAAATCCAGGTCTTCATACTAACGTGCTAAGGAAAAACGCCGTATGAACCTTCAGGCGTTGCCAAATTTCCTTTGATAAAACATGGATTTTCTGGTAAACTTATGAATATTTTCTTTTCAACTTTTTTGATAATTTTGTTCGCAATTTCATCTGAAGTTCTTAAAATTGCAAGGAAAAATATTCAGAACATTCCTCAAAAATAAACATTTTATCGCTGGAAATTTGGCAGCTCTCGAATGTTCATATGGCGTTCTTCCTTAGCACGGCAGTATAGTCGAGCGAGCCAATCGCTTCAGTTGATTGCATAGAGAAAAAAAAGGAGGTGTTTGCATTTCGGGCATCTTGGAATTTTTTTGATGACGTAGGTCGATACGGCGACTTATATAATCGATTTTCTTGGAAATGGTGTAGTTTATGGCAAAAATGCATTCTACATAAAGTGTTTGAAATTATATATGTATCATGCGTTGATTAAAGCAAAAAAATCGAACATCCCTGGTAAAAATAGGCGATAGGAGCTGCGTTTCAAAATACCATAGGAGTTCTTATAGCCGACTGAAGAAGGCGATAAAAAATCATATGGCTGGCTGTAGAAAGTGGAAAAAATCATACGGCCGAGCTAAACGAAGCGATAAAAAATTAAACAGCCGGGCTATATAGTTCCTGTCGCCGGACTTTACACTTTATCGCCTGGCTGTTGCTTTTTCGCCATCGGCTGTAAAAGGCTATAAGAAATTGTGTAGAAATTCGTGTGCTTTGTAAATCCGCAAGTTTGTACGGAATCACCATAATATTTACAAAACAAACATTATATTTTCCTTTGCTACATATCGACGGTGAAACTACCAAACCACGTATCTCGTTTGCGGTGTTTAAAAATCTACGCTCACATTTTATTTTTTTGAAGTAGACCAAATCAATATCATTCCTTGAAATTTTCACGGAATTTTCTCCGCACAAAGAGGAAAAATCACAGAAATTTTCAAGACTGGATGTTAAGTAGTTCTTCATTTAAAAAATAAAGTATGACAGGAAGTCTGCGACGTCGCAAACCGAGATACGTGGTTTGGTAGTTTCACCGTCGATATTTGTTTTCATCAATTAAAATGAGAATAATCCATACAGAGTGTGCAAACATTTCAAAGTCATGAGTTGAACAACGCTGACTCCGTGAGATTAAGTATTAGAGCCTAACACAAAGCGGAGCGGCGGCGCACTGGTGCCTACCAACCTAACAGGGATACTTCACGCACTGCGCAATGCGTGAAGTATCCCTGTTAGGTTTGTAGGCGCCAATGCGCGTTTCGCGCTGGCTGCCCGCCCGCCGCGCTGCGCCGCAGCGTACCACGGCGCTTGAAGCAACTATTTCACACCAGAAGTATTGCACAATATCGTACGAAATTGAAGGCGTTCCAACATATTAGGGATGGCAGGCATCCTTCAAAAGTACGGAGCTTCCCTCGCAAAATAAATCAAGATACTACGACCCAAAAAGAGAGCGGTAGTCCAAAAACTCACGAAGTCCTGCCATCCGTAATTAGTAACGGATAGCATACACTTTATCGTCAGGCTGTTGCTTAATCGCCATCGGTTATAAAAGGCTATAAGAAATTGTGTTGCCGGCTATAGAAGCTATCGGAAATCTTACAGTCGACTGTAGGTCTATGGTATTTTGGAACACAGATTCTACTGCCAATTTTTACCAGGGATTATGGTCCGTTCTTCATACTTCGAATTCCGGATTTCGCTGGCCAGGTAGTACCGACCTACGTCACAGGGTAAACAAACGTCAAGATGCAAGCACCTCCTTCTTTTTCTCTATGAGTTGATTGTAGAGGTGAACTTCAGTTCGGTGAAACGAAGGGTCAATTCTACCCCAAGTAGTAGTGATCGCGAAGAGCTGCGATTTGATCGGAGAATGTGTCGCGATTTTATCACCGTCGATTTATTGTACTATCATCGGATAAAAAATTGCGATAAAGTGCGATTTCGTCGCGTAACTTTGCAATAAAATCGCGATTTTAGCGACAGTGATTCGTCGCAATATTATCGAACAAAAAATCGTGATATATAAATTGAGATAAAATTTCGATTTCACCCAACGCGATTTTACAGAGATAAAATTGCGACAAGATCGAAGATATCGCTGAGATGGTAATGATCCTAGTGATTTATCGCCAAAAAATCGCGACTTTTCCGTTGAAAAATCCTACTTGAGACAAGCCGAAAAAATGTGGTTCACATAGCGCATGTTCCTCACCGATCTAAGTTTTCTAGTTCATAATCTGAGACTTTGGTTCATTGAGCAGAACCAAACTGAAACTTTTGTAGTTCCTAACTGCAAAATGTCCAATTTTCCCTGCCATTCCGCATTGCCTATCTCTCCGATGCATTACATTCATTCAAATGATCGTTAAAATTGAACATTTTCTTTACCAAATGATTTAAAAATATTGCAAATCATTCGCAAATTAATTGGAATTTTATTGCATTACGTAGGTCGTACCTTTATTTCAATATTTTCATGCCACTGTGCCACTAGGGTATTTAATATCGATTTTCTTGTGAATCATGATATCATACCCAAGCACTCCAACTGCAAACAATGATTATGAAATAGATCGATACTCACTTTTACATTCAATATTTTTACATTCTCCAAATCCAATAGGGAGGTCAAGTTTTCCGGCAGTTCTCCAGATGGGTTCATAACTTGCACTTTTGGGTGGATCCCGGCCACTGATACTGTGAACTCTTTCAGCGTTTGATCTACTGGAAGCTCGTGTTCCTCTACAGATGATGAATTTTTGTCCGAGCGATCCACAGCCAACAAGTTTACTTTATGAGACTGCAAGCTCACCCGTACAAAATTCAAAACCTGTGGCAAAAATTAATTTTCATTTAGTTCATCGCTCCAAAAAAGACGATTTGCATCTGAAAAAATAGTTCTGTTTATAGGGCCAGGGCCGTATTTACCAACTTGCCGCCCATGTGCCGCCTGTATTTTGCCGCCTCCTTCTCATTCGTTTTGAAACATCAATAAAAACCATCAAGTGAACGTGGGGGGGGGGGGGGAGGGTGCATAAGACACGTATACTCGTGTTGGATACATTTTTTGCGAAAGCCCCATCAACACTATACTAGCAACATTTCACGGAACTTTGCGCGAAAGTTAATTTCCGTTAACCTATCTCAGTGTAGATAAGACCATCCATTTATAAGAAATAAGCGAAAAATTTATGCGAGAAGGCTTATGGCTTGGCTATGGAAGGCTTTATGGGGGAGGATTTATGCTTTATAAGTGTGGTTTAATAATTTTAACTTCTACCGCCGCGTCGCAATGACCGCATTGTGTTTGGCGCAATGCGTGAAGTATTCGTGCAGTCTTGTAGGCGCTCTGCGTTTCGCGCTGACCGCACTGAGTTTGACGCAATACGTGAAGTATTCATGCAGTCTTGTAGGCGCTAATATGTGTTACATGCCGACTGCCGCGCCGACCGCGCCGAGGGCTTCTCCTTTACATCTCAAGTCCTCATCGTCATTCCTCTCTGCGCCGCGCCGCTCCAGGCCAAATTGCGTGTTTGGTTTCTCTCTTGACTTGACTAATTAAAGGTGCAGTCTCTTGTGTCACCGAAAGACGACAAAATTAGCGATTACTATACTCTCAGGAAAAAGAGATTTTGTCGCCTTTTTTCGTTGGTAATTTTCTCTTCTGAATCAGATTTTTTTTATACCTACGTTTAAAAAGATCGCAAAATTGGTCGCCCCCCCCCCAAATTTTCCGCCATGGGCCGCGACCCATATGGCCGCCCTCTTAATCCGGCCTTGCATAGGGCTCATGCACTTTCTTTGCTATAGAAGTTTCCGTTATGAGGACAGAATACTCTGTACTTACGACCGAGGTTCTGTTCTCACAACAGAAAAGTTCTGTAAGTATAACAAAGAACGTGCAGGAGCCCTGTGATCAAACAGAAGGTTCTGTCATCAGCACCGACTATTTTTTGCGTACATAACAAGAAAAAAAACTCACGCGCGGTTCTTCGTCTGTAAATTACCAGAGAGGAAAATTTTTTAAGCGCTTTGCAAAACATTCTGCAGTAATGAGGGATGACCAGCAATTTGCTAGGTGTTGAATTTCGTGAGGCTATTTTTCCCTTTCCTCCTTTCCTTGAAGCTTTTTTTTCCTCTCTGAAAGTTGTAAAGCAATTTGAGAATTCTCTTCTGAATGAATGACGCAAGAGCGGATATTTTGAAACGTCTCCATCGATAAACGAGACATTTGATTCAATTAAGAGCATTTCTTCAAATTGAAATTAAAAAAAAAAAAAAAAAAAAAAAAAAAAAAAAAAAAAAAAAAAAAAAAAAATGGTGCACTCTATCAAGAAGCGGTTCATCAATTCCACTTGATCCCAATATCGCCTTCATTTAGGAGTTCTGTAATCCGACCACAAGTCGTCAATTTGAGTTGTACAACTTGAAGGCACTGGCTGTTTAGTGTTTATATCATTGTTATTTCGTCCATGGTGGAAAGTTCATCTAATGTATGATCAACGGGTAATTACGATTTTGAACCATTGATGAGAAATTCATTTGAACCATTCGTTATTTAAACTGAATGGAGAATTTGCACGAAAAAATTTTATTGCTTCTTTTGAGAGTGCTAAAATGAGCTGTCGCGTTTGCAGTATTTTCAAAATTTTCCCTTGAGATGGGAAATTGTAGAAAAGTAGCTTTAAAATTGAAAAAATATGCCGCCTCGTGATGTCATCTGGCGACATTTAACATTTAAACACGTGTATTTCAGCAGATAACATTTTTCTGTCACATTTCCTCCCATTTAGAAACCAAGGATACTCTCGTGCTCAGTTCTCTTAGTCGTTTCATCGTAAACATGAAATTCACCTTTTAGACACCTGCAGGCCGATTATTGAAATTGATGGACAAAGCTTTAGACAAAGAAGACAATATAAAAGAGGAATGGAGGCAACCCACAAGAAACCCTATACTTAGTCCACCATTTTCTACCTAAGTCTGTACTGTCATACTAAGGAAAACGCCGTATGAACCTTCAGGCGTTGCCAAATTTCCTTTTATAAAACATACATTTTCTGGTGAACCTATGTGGATTTTCTTTTCAATTTCCTAGATAATTTTGTTCCCCATTTTATCTAAAATTCCTGAAAATTTCAAAGAAAAATATTCACAACTTTCCTCAAAAATAAATATTTTATTGGAGGAAATTTGGCAACCCACGAATGTTCATACGGCGCTTTTCCTCAGCACGGCAGTGTAGGAACCATCCTTTTTAATCGACAGAATTGCTCCATACTCCAAATGTCCTCTCTGTCCATAGCTTCATTCCAATAATCAGCCCGCAGCAAAGTCTCTATCACAAGCTGATGTTTTCCTCACCTCCTGAACATCAGTTTTATTCAAATGGTAGACTTGTCCGGAACTTGTGGCGGCGATTTTTTCGAAGACTTGGTAACCAGGATGTTGAGGGTCTCCGCAGTCCCCGGTCATGACGAAGATGACCTGGGTTTGTTTCCTCTCGATCAGAGGCAGCACCTCGTTGATTCGCTCGTAATCTTTGGAACGGGCGTCGGTGAACACGTAAACGAAGGAGTGCGGCCTGCAGGCTTGGAGGGCTAAAATGATGGCGCTGAGAGTCATCTCGGGACAATCGCCGCCGCTGAATACTTCTATCTCTTGGAGGCGGCGCAGGAACTCCTCGTGGTCATTGGAGACTGACAGCGGTCCAACGACTGAAAAAAGGGGGAAAAGAGAAAAATGAAAATGGAGATGTTGCATGTGTGAGGGATTTGCGATTTGACAATTGATACCCATGTAAAAGATCGCGAGAAACACGATGGTGCCACTGGTTTTCTCTGAAATCATCTCCCAAGCTCAAAAAAAGCTCTCAAAGTGAGGCCAAAATGGAGGGGATATCCCACCCTACCCTGAGAGTCCACCTCTACATCAAAACAAACTCTCCATGCAAAGATAGGGAGCAAATACATTAGCAGAGTTGCCGTGTTTTCAGTTTTGGAGTCCCCAAATAAAGTGGCAACCGTGTCAATGTATTTGCTCCCCTATCTTTGTATGGAGAGTTTGTTTTGATGTGGAGGTGGACGCTCAGGGTAGAGTGGGATATCCCCTCCATTTTGGCCTCACTTTGAGAGCTTTTTTTGAGCTTGGGAGATGATTTCAGAGAAAACCAGTGGCACCATCGTGTTTCTCGCGAACTTTTACACAAGAATCAATGGTCAAATCGGAGATCTCTCACACATGCAACATCTCCATTATACAAAATCTACGTCTGCTATGTTGAGGACGATCATTTTAGTCACAGGGCCACTGCTTTCTTACTTTCGGTTGTGCAACAAGGCTTACACATTAACTGCAAGGAAATTGCTCATTATGCATTCGATGAGAAGACTCTCAATTACTTTTTTACCGGGCTAAAAGAAGTTACACCGAATGGCGCCTGAATAAGCGTGAGATAACTATTCGGGCACGGCTGTCGTGGTATTGCATATTCGCCGTTTTGAAGGCGATTCTAAGATTTTGCATTCTCATGATGGACCACTAAACACGGTACGAATGTAAGAATTATGATGCAAGTTTTTTCTTCAAAATTTCACGGAGAGCACAATTTGCGCAACGGAAGTTACTGAGATTATCCTTCAACCAAGATATTAATGTTTTAGTTTAGCATCGGTTACGAAAAATTTGAATGTTTATATGAAAAATCGCAGTCTGCCTGAATCAAATAGCGTGTCACAACCGTTTCAACAGGTTCCTTGGTGGAGCAGTGTTCCTCGCCATAATCTGTGTACGAAATGTAAACAGCGTGCTAAGGCTGAGTCGAAGCGCCGATATTGTCTCTGTCATATGTTCATTCTGCCGAGACCGTCACGGTACCGCTAATATGCGATTTAACTTATAGAAATTATGTTTTTTATGAGAGGCAGGTTTGAAATCATACATTGGAACACGTTATAATACCTTTCTTAGGAGTTACTTTCAACAATTTTCATTGTGCAATTTGTGTTCTACGTGAAACTCCCACGAGGATACATACATTAGAATGCATAAATTCGTACCTCATCTGGTGATCCGTTCTCTTGGTCACGGAGCTAATTTTTCTTATTTTTTTAATGCTTCCAGTTGTGCGTGAAGGTTTTCACATTCACTGCAACGTAACTGCTCCTGATGCACTCAGCGAGAGAAACTTCATTAATTGGACGTATTTCTGTCAAACGGAACTATATTATAAATTTAAACATGAGCCCTGAGACCCTCCCTTAAGAATGTATGCAATATGCATAACAGGGCTCACGTGTCTAGAAATTTTCAACAAAAAAATTCCCCTGCTTTTACCTGATTTTCCTGCCAAAAACGACCAAAAAACCGGGAGAAAATTTGAATTCCCTGACAGACGGAAAAATAATGTAATTCCCTGACATTTCCCTAACAAAAAGGAAGACAAGTAAGAATTTTTTCATGTTTTAGGAATATATAATGTAATAAATGGAGCAAAATACGGTGCCTAAACTTATGCAAGATATTTTTGCCTCATTTTTAAAATTTGAAAGACTACAGCAGAAATTCTGGGTTAAATTTTGGTCGAAATCTCCACGAGAGTGAAATTCGCGACTTTCGAAAGAAACCGTGTATTTCAATTTCCCTGACACGAAAATCGCCTGTAAGATGAAATTCCTTGACATGCCGAATTTTTACGGGTTCCCTGATTTCCCCGACACACAAAAAAAAATTCCCTGACATTTCCCGGCTCTCCCGGTTTTCCCGATCGCTAGACACCCTGAATAGCTACTCAGGCACAGCGCACGAAAAATCGAGTCAATAGGAGAAGTCGGATAAAATTTGGAAACGTTAAACGTTTATAACTTTGTTCATTCAAGACTTTGAAGTTCTAAAAGTGACACTCTTGGTTTTCTCGTGACATTTTCTAGGGGATAGACTTCTCAAAGTCCAAAATGTGACGAAATAAGCATACAAAACATTTTTAGTAAAAAATGTCATGTTCGACCTCTCTGATTGACTCGATATCCACTGTGCGGCGGTTGTGGTATTGCATATTCACCATTTTGAAGGCGTTTCTATGATTCCGCATGATAATTTTAGCCAAGGGTTTACCGGGATCTTGGAAACGCCTTCAAAAGGTGAATATGCAATACCACTACCGCCGCACAGTGGATCGAGGCAATGCTGCCGTGCTAAGGAAGAACGGCGTATGAACATTCGAGAGTTGTCAAATTTCCTTCTATGAAATGTTTATTTTTGAGGAAAGTTATGAAAATTTTTCCACAGCATTGCCTCGATCCACTGTGCGGCGGTAGTGGTATTGCATATCGATGGTGAAACTACCAAACCACGTATCTCTCGTTTGCGGTGTTTAAAAATCTACGCTCGCATTTTATTTTTTTGAAGTAGACCAAATCAATATAATTCCTTGAAATTTTCACAGAATTTTCTCCGCACGAAGAGGAAAAATCACAGACATTTTCAAGACTGGACGTTAAGAAGTTTTTCATTTAAAAAATAAAGTATGACAGGAAGTCGGCGACGTCGCAAACCGAGATACGTGGTTTGGTAGTTTCACCGTCGATATTTACCGTTTTGAAGGCGTTTCTAAGATTCCGCACGATTATTCAGCCCAAGGGTGACTTACCGGGATCTTGGAAAGGGACGAGTATGTAGTCGGCGACGAGCGTGGGATCGCGCTCGCGGATGGTCTCGAGGATCTTGACGGCGCCGTGCTTGACTTGGGCCAGGTCGTCCCACATGGACCCGGTCGAGTCGAACACGAACGCCAACGACGCCGACCCCGCCGTGCCCTCCGGCAACCGCCGCCAGTTCTTCCTTCCGTCGGCTCCCGGTCGCCCGCCCCCGCCCCCAGTCGTCGACGCCACCATCGCCGATGGAGCCCCCACCCCTGCTGACAACGTCGTGTCGAACAACCCGTTCGGATGGATCACCGATTTCTTCCTCTTCGAGTCTTTTCGCTTCCGCTTCTCGCGTTTCAGCCCCCCGCTCCGGGCTTTCTTCCCTCTGACGTCGCTCCGTGCCCACTTGGGGGCGCTCGACGTCAGGGCACCCTCTTCGCTTCGAGACGGGGTTGAAGGAGTGCTGTCGCTTCCGTGGCTTGGAGACTCCGCCTCGAGGGTTGATTTCTGCTCAGATTGACTCGGTCTTCCCGGGTGCCTGTAATCATTAAGACAGCAACTTTTTTACTCTTTGAAATGGACGTATTCTGCCAAACGGAACTAAGCGCCAATTTGCGTTCCTTTTGAGGAATTTAGAATGCCGGATAGCGCGTTCTGTCAAACGGAACTAAGCGCCATTGAAAAGCATTGCGAGTATAGGAACGAATGAGCCCGACGCCCGGTTCCGCCGCCAATCCAAGCCCCCCTCTACCTTCCTCCCCCGATGGCGCTTAGTTCCATTCGACAGAAATAGTCCAAATGTACGAAGCACGCATGGGTGGAGATTGGCGGGGCCGGGAGGGCCTGCCCCCCAGAAATCTACGTGGTCCCTCTTCTGAAATGAGCGGGATTTTGCTGAGAGCGTGACATATTTTTAATCTTTGAAATTTTAATTGGATCAATTTTTCGGCGAGAACAGCTCAGAATTACTCTTAAAATGTTTGAATTTTTCAATCGGAGGGGGGGGTGGGGGGAGACCCCGTGAACCCCCTGTGATGCTAAAGGAATTCCCCAAACTCTCATTTGGAGCGGGGGAGTCCCGCAGATCCTCTCTAGTGAGGTGTCTTTTTGTGCGTCCAGCGGGCCGATTATTGAAATTTTGTGTTTGTCAGGCGGACACAGATGACATGGGTTTAAATGGCTAGGCGTGATTGGTCGGCTATGTCTTATCGCTGCTTTGTCGTGCCTATGTCGGGTTGAACTCACGCGAAGCTATCGGTACCTCTTAAGTTTCCGACAGTATGTCGTCCATTCCACCTGTCAAAGGCACGACAAAGCAGCGATAAGACATAGCCGACCAATCACGCCTCGTCATTTAACCCGTGTCATCTATGTCCGCCCGACAAACACTAAATTTCAATAATCGGCCCGCAGACCCCTTTGGTAAGTATGAGGGGCCCTGCTGCCCCCCCGCCCTCCCATGAAAAATTCCTTGTTCCGCCTATAAAAGCACGCTGAAAAAAGAACCCTCGCTCTTACGATGATTATAGTAGAATCTAGGCTCCACCCGCTTTCTCTGCTCGTAATCACAATTTAACTGTTGAAGTGGCATCCACTTACTTAACGTTAACGTTGCATGGTAATTGAGGCCAAAATATATTTTCCAGGAAAAAGATGGTTCCACTGGTTTTCTCCGAAACGAACTCCAAAGCTCATAAGCTCGTAAGGTTGAGGGGATATCCCACGCTATCCTGTGACTCCTGTGAGTCCACCTCTATATCTAGTTAAACTCTTCATGCAAATGATAAGGAGAAAAAACATTAGCAAGGTTGCCGTGGTTCCAACTTTGGAGTTCTCAAACAATGTGGTAACCCTGCTAATGTATTTGCTCTCTATCTTTGCATGGAGAGTTTGACTTGATTTGAGGATGGACTCTCAGGATAGCGAGGGATATCCCCTTCATTACGGCAACAACTTTGAGAGCTTGTTTTGAGTTCAGGAGCAGAGAAAATAACCAGTGGCGCCGTCGTATTTCTCTCGAAATTTTACATAGGAATCAGTACTTAAATCGCAAATTCCTGTCACACGCAAGAGCTCCATTGAGGGCCTTGGAGGACAAGGCACATAAGTGAAGTAGGTATTTGAAAAAATTGAGATATTAATGATTTCAACAGAAACTAGTCTTAAATTATATTCAGTGAAAAGCTCACTACTAATATCTAATTTTTATCAATCAAAAAGTGAGTTTGAACTTTCCTCTGCCATGAAGAATCCATGTAATTTTAAAACTAAAAACACGTATTTTATGAAATATCAAAAACCGCACTTATGCATGCGTTCTGTCTTCAAAGTCCCTCAATTCATGTGTCCAGCTGCAGCTCATGAATGGATGAAAAATTTGCGCAAGTGGATTACATTTTGCGATAAAGATACACTATCTCTGGGCTCTTCCATAAAAGCACCTTTCTGCGTAGAGAAACCAATGGTATAAATGTCGTTTCTGAAATGAGCCAGAAATAGTGATTCTTCATTCCAAAATTTGGTCCAAGTATAGATTGAGTTGATAATTTTTTTCTAAAATACCTCTCACCGGGCGGATGTTTCCTCTTGCCACCCTTCTTCCTTGGCTTCGTTGGTTTTTCAGTGTTGTTCACGTAGATCTGAGCCGGTTTTAAGTCCGATCCATCGACAAATTCGACATTTTTTAAAACACTCGCAGGCGACGTTCGGACTTCATTCAGCTTTTGCGACGGGACATCCTCGATGCTTTTCATAGTCCCCGATCGTTCGTTGTGAGTGGTATTGTGCCGCAACTTATGATTCATCTGGGGTGGTTTTTCGCTTGTCTGTTGGACATCGTTAGATTTCTGCTTAACTTCGTTGGTGACGGATTCCAAACCGGGCGAGTTTCCTGACCCGAAATCGATATTCCAGAAGTTGTCATCGATATCCACTGCCATTTCGTTATTCCGCGTTGCGCCTCCGCCGTTTCCCCGATTCAAATTGCTGATCTCAACAGTACTACTTTCGGATTTGAAAATTTGTTCAATACTGCTGTCCTCCGATGTGAGTATCTTCTCATCGTCTACAGAACTGAAGAGCTCGCTTCGCACCAGGTTTTTGCCCTCTGTCAACCGGTTTCCCTCGACGTCAACGAGCGATTTTTCCGAATTCAAGTCATCGGATTCAAATATTTTTTCCATGCTGCTCACCTCTGACGTGAGAACGTTTCCTTCAAACTTCATCGCGCAACTGGAGTTTGTTTTGGGACATATCGCGACCGAACTTTCACGAACTTTCCGAGCCGGGGAAGTCCTAAAATTTCCCTTCTCCCTCCATTCCGAGAAATCATTTCCTTCAGCTGACGCGTCGTAATCCGCATGGAATCTTGAATTTCCAATAGCGGTTGTATCCGAACTCACCGAGTACTTGCACAAGCAGAAACTGCACAGAAAGAGCGGCAGGTACGTTCCGACTAATTTATACATATTGATAGTTTAAGGTCACAGACACCGGTTTAATTTCCACCAGAGTGGATCGCGCGGGGAGCTTTTCCTCGGGTTAGCATAGGGCAGAAACAACGAATAAAAAAATGAAAAATTAAAATGGCAGGAGTCGTTGGATGTAAACAGGACTCGGTGGCGAGGATCGAGCTGCTAGATACCGGGTCTCCGTGCGTAGATCGTTTTCGCGGAATTTCGCATGACAGCGGTCACGAAACTGCGAGGACGTGCACAAAATATAAATATGTCCGAGTTCAAAATTCGAAACGGCAACAGCTGAAGAATTGACGGCATAAAATGCGAACTCCGATGAGAACATTACGATTCTCGGAAGACTGATGAAATTGCATTATAATTTGCTAGCCAGGGGGAATCGACGTGTGTAAGCACTACGCACTTTCTAGAGGTGCGTTAAATTTGATTCATCGATTCATTATTCTAAACACTGCCCGAGTGAAATTCAACGAAAGCATCGTTTTATATTTACAGGAATAGTGTTGGAGATGTCTAAGTCACATGCCGGACGGGAACACACTACTGGAAGCAGGCAACCTGCAAAAATATAATTCCTTTTAAGATCTAAGGAGGCTAGAGTGCGCGAGATAGACACTCCGATCGAAACACACCACCTTCAGAAAAAAAATTATTCGAGACGTAAACAAGCAGGGGCAGAAAACCATTCGTAAAACCGCACTTGAAAACTCAATTTTGTTTAAAAATTCGATTGTCGGTAAAATATTGCGCAGGGGTAGTGTGGCGACCACTCGATCGAAATACACCACTTTCGAGAGGGGGGGGGGGGGGTTGTATGCTTGAACTAAAAATGGAACACAATTACATTAACTGATCAGGTCCTTTGAAAAAAGATATCGAACAATCAGATTTTTTTAGTGTGCCCGGGGGTTCCTGCGGCGAAGGAGGACCACGCAATCGAAAAACATCACTTCACGAAGTAAAAAAAAATCCGTCGAAGTGAAAGAGCAAAAAATAATAAAATTATGTCTCGAGGACCACTTTAGAGTGGAGACTTCTAAACACTAACCAACATCGGAGGATACCTCGAGACAACTGGGATTTAAAAAAAAGAAACAAGAGGGAAATAAAAGCGGAAAAAGTCACGAACAAGAGATGTAGAGATGGAGCAGTGATCTGTTGCTCGGAGGCTGTCTTGGCAGCGATCTGAAGGGCCACGCGAAGTACTAATTGGAGAACACAGCACACCAGACCACGAAGCGGCGAGGCGCGAGGTGGGGGTACTTGCGTCTCGCGGGTGCTTGCTTTGAATGTGGCGCCCTCCCGCGCCGCACAATGGATCGAGTCAATGGGGGAGATCGGAAAAAATTTGGAAACTTTAAAAGCTCGCAACGCCCTCCATACAAATTTTTGAGGTTTTAAAAGTGGATCCATTGGTTTCCTTGTGAAATTTTCTTCTGGATGCACCCCTTAAAATTCAAAATGTGACGAAATAAACATCAAAACTTGCAGTTTTAGTAAAAAATTACGTGACCGGCCTCTCTAATCGACTCAACCCACAGAGCGCCGCGACACGACCAACGAAACGCGCGGTTATACACGCCGCGAGACAATCCCTTTCTTTAAATATTAACTCGATTTCTGATTTGGACTCACCTGACGCATTTGCTGGATCTTAATCGACTCCGATTTGATGTCGCTCTTAGTTGCCACTTTGGGCACTTTTGGAAAGAAAAACTCCGGCTGTGAAAGCCGGATAACACCGTACGCTCCGGATTCAGAGGAAGGGATGGCAATTTTTTTTCATTTCTTAAAAAAATCGATTTTTTGCGCCGAAAAATCTATTAAATCGTATCGATTTTTCGAGGTCGATTGAAAATCGGAATCGATTTTTCGAGGTCGATTAAAAATCGGAATCAATTTTTCGAGGGTCTAGTAAGGGTTATGCGTGTTTTTGGCGCTGCACTTGGATTTTTAAGTGTTCTAAAATCGATTTTTTTCTGAAATCGATTTTTCCATCCGATTTTAAAATCGAATCGATTTTTTACCAAAAATCAAATCGATTTCCCGAAATCGATTTATTCGCAAAAAACGCCATCCCTATAAAGCAGAGGCCTAGAGTTGCGGGCACAGCACCTATTGCTCTGGTCACTGAACCCGGAGCAGTCGAGGCTACGGCTCCAGCTGCTGGAGTCCAGCACCCGGGACTTGCGGTCTTTGAGCCCAGAACGGACGGTATGTCTATATAACCCTTAAGTTCGGTTTTCACAGCCAGTCATATAGAATTTAGTTACTATGATCGAAAATTTCGGTCACCTGAATTGAGAATCTTTGGTGCTCCATGTGAACCGAAGTTCAGTCCCTGTAATTCAAGTTTTTTTCCTCAGTGCTCGTGGAACGGACAGAAGAAAAAAATTGGAGAATGTTAAGAGGAGGAAAAGCTTCAAAAAATTTGCGAGAGAAGTTGGAAACAGCTCAGAAAAAAATGAAATTTTCCTCCCTGGAGATTTAGCAAAACGTTGGAGGCAGTAATGAATTTTATGAACTACTCATTTTATGAACTACGTCTCCCTGATGTTTTCCCTTACTATTCTTGGAGGTTTTCTCAAATCTGTACAGTCCGGAAACTAATCCAAAGAATGTTGGGGAAAGTGTCAAAGAGGGCTGCAAAATTCTACAGGCTTCATGTAGTGCTCAAAAATTAAAAGAAAAAACCTACTCCTTTCACACTAGCATTTTCAAAGGAGAATGACAGTGGTGAGCCTAGCATCGTTTCAAGAAATTGGAGTCTATGATGCAAAAATGTATCTTTAAGGGGGGGGGGCATCATAAATCATTCATAATGGGAGAAAAGAAAAAAAATCCAAAAAGTAGTCGATAAAAATCTGTTTTTGGAAAATTTCACGAGGGCTTGCCTCTATTCAGGGGGAGGGGTAAGTCAAATGGACATTTTCAGATTTCTAAGGTGCCAGGTCCAACTATTTCCATCGTATACTCGTAGTTACTTCCACAGATAAAAAAACAACTGGACCTGACTTTGAGTATGAGTTTCACTTTCGAACATAAAATCATGTAAACGTCCAAAATGCAAATGCGTCCGGAACGGTGCATCACTTGGAGTTTTTGCAATGCCCATGTCCAAAAGACGTAGACAAGGGGCTCGATGACAAGCGCTCAAGAGAGCATTACGCAGTTATGTCACAAGTCGCGTCTCGTCTTCACGAGGCGTGCGCAGCCGCAGCCCACCTCAAGCGCCGCGCTGCGCTGTTCCGGGGTTCATTAGCAGCCCACCTTTCAAAAGCTCGGCAAACATATCGGCCGAAATAAATATTTACTTCCGGCTCCTCGAGCCCCATTTCCCGGGGGCAGGGCGGGGGCTGGTGTCGAGGAGTTCGCTCCGCTGCAGTCTCAACGCCCGGTGCACCATGCTACGACCACGACCACGACCATGGGCAGTGGGCGCAGCTTGGGCCAAGATCAAATAGATCCCCCTTACATCCTCTGCGGGCCGATTATTGAAATTCATAGACAAAGCTATAGACAAAGGAGACAAAAGAGATATGGAGAGATCCTTTTAGTGGAAGCGGGTAAAGGAGGTAGGTAAATATCACGCTATACAGCTTAGAAATGTTCAATGACGCAACGCGACCGGTGGACTGATTGAAAGGAGCTTATTTGAAGAAAGTCATGGACACCGAGGCAATCCCGGAGCACTTACGCCCCTCTACAAACAAGCCGATCTATTACCGGTGGCTATTGGTTCGTGTATCTGCGCAGCCATTTGTCCTACGGAAAAAAATGTGTCTTAAATTATGAGCCGAAGAAGGCTTTAGGCACGCGGCCAACCGAGTAGATGTTGGGTACCCACCGAGAACACCGTCAGCTTTCAACGCGTGGTCCCAATCGGAACCGTTTACAGAGACTGTTTGTGAATTACGTCACGTATTATGATGGTGGGAGGGAGTTTAAGCGTTAGCGTGTCAAGTGCGTATGAAAGGGAGGAAGGGGGCTGACGTCATGCCAAAATTGGCGAATTTGAACTGTCAACCAAGAAAGGGACGATATCTTCTGCGCATGAATCTATAAAGAATCATTCTAAACTGGTAAAATCTAGATAAATGAAAGAAGGATCCTGTTTGGCGAAAAACCTCGCAATCGCGCAATGGAGAGTTTGCAGGTGCCTTACATTTTGTGAATTTCATCTTCAAAATGATACTGCTAGGATAACTGAGTACGAGGATACTCTTGGTTTTGAAATTGAACAATTATTGGAGGAAATAAGACAAAATACCCGAATTTGCCAAACTACGTGTGTTTAAATGGGAAATGCCGCCAGATGACGTCATGAGGCGGCACATTTTGTCACTTTTAAATCTATTTTTCTCCAATTCCCATGTCAGAAAAAAATTATGAAAAATAATGCGAACTCAGGTCAATAGGAACTCTCAGATGAAGCAAGAAAATTATTGTGTGCAAATTCTCCATTATCGATTTCTGCTTCAAATGCGAGGGTTTTCCAAAAAGGATTTTGTTTTCATTTCCGAAGATTTTGCCAATCTTTTGCTGAAAAATGATTTTTAGGCTCATATGCAGGGACTTTTGTCATTTTTTTGCGAAAAATTTAAATCTGACGAGATTTTTACATGTTCGATGCGATATATAGCACGCCACCTCGACCAAATCAAAGAGCTTGACGAATCACCTTCATATATTTTTGCCAAATCTTGAATTATGACAAAGCAACGCGAAGCTCGACTTAATCCGATGTACGACCTGGAGGGGGGGGGGAATCCAAAATATTTCTGAACTTCTACACGCGGTTATTCGGAGAAAAAAAAATGAAGATGGTAACCGTTTTTGGAAATACGTGACTGGTGGCGTCACAAATAATAGGCGAAATAGTGACGAGGCGTGAATGATAGATTTTTGATATTTCGTCACCTTCCGGCCAAAGTATCACCAAGTTCCATGCGACGCCTAAAAATTTCCGCCGCCATTTTATTTTTTTATGGGGAAATTGTGGGTTGAATCTGTTTGAAAATTTCACTGAATATTATCGGCAGCGCAAAAAAAAAAAAAATCAGTGAAATTTTCGGACAGCTTCGTTGAACAATTTCTCCGTCAAAAAATAAAATGGCGGTGGCAATTTTTAAATGTCGCATGGCGCTTGTGATACTTAGTCCGGAAGGTGACGATTTCCCCATTTGAAGCTATGGCAAGGAATCGATTATTAAGGAGTTCGTTACAAACACCCTGTTTATCGATCTTTTTCCATATGCGTTTAAATGGCAGATTGATCGATAAATCGCAAAGCACGCCACGCCACCGTAACTCGACCGCCCTCTCCATGGCTCACAGTCTCACCACATGAATCGATCTTGTCTTCGACCGTGGCGTCACCGCAACTTAACGCTCAGACAGTGAGCTATGGGTGCTGAAATACCTTAGCATACTTAGCATACGAGATACATAAAAGCGAATGTATTACATCGATGTTTGCCAATGCTCGTTTCAATCGTCTTATTTATAATTTTCATATATTACCGTCGCGTCGTTCGATAGACGGTAATTTATGTAGACATTGGCGTTACCGGGTACCGGGTAGTCTATTAATGTGTGAACGTTTGGACACGCAGGGTCACGCGTATCTTACATGGGTTTGAATGGGGGAAAAGTGCTGAAGAAGCAGCATATCTGGCAATAGTAGTCTAGGAGGGACGAGAGGCTTCCTTCCTGAGAAAACCCTTGATTTAGCAGAAAATGTCGTCAAAACAAATTGGCTGATCTCTTGGCACTAATAAAACGGTTCGCGGAGCGAGCCGAAGTCACTCCCGTAGCGAGTGACCAAGGCTTCCGGAAATATTTCACGTGAAATTTCACGATTTTAAATTTCATGAAATTTTGCCACCCTGACCAGGGCTCCAGGCGGTGCAGCCCTTTGGCCAGCGGTGACGGACGCTCGAAGCGCGACCAAAACGGCTAGTAACATGAATGAAAATGTTATCCGAGCGCCTTCAAAACAGAGAGAAAAAAAAAAAAACAAGCGGGAAAGCTCTTAGGTCTTACTACTAGAGTCCCTTTATACTGAGAGTCAAGACGATGCGAATCCATTTCTGATTGGTTAACCGTATTTTAGACTCGAAAAAACTCTCTAAATAATCTCACCTCTAATTATAATGAGATGAGACAAAATGAGGACGGTGGGACAGCAAA